TGAATGATGAGTGACGAGTCACAGGTGAATGATGAGTGAGGGGTCATAGGTGAATGATGAGTGACGGCTCACAGGTGAATGATGAATGATAGGTCACAGGTGAATGATGAGTGAGGGGTCACAGGTGAATGATGAGTGACGAGTCACAGGTGAAAGATTAGTGACGGCTCACAGGTGAATGATGAGTGACGGGTCACAGGTGAATGATGAGTGACGGGTCACAGGTGAATGATGAGTGACAGCTCACAGGTGAATGATGAGTGAGGGGTCACAGGTGAATGATGAGTGATGGGTCACAGGTGAATGATGAGTGACAGCTCACAGGTGAAGGATGAGTGACAGGTCACAGGTGAATGATGAGTGAGGGGTCACAGGTGAATGATGAGTGACGGGTCACAGGTGAATGATGAGTGACAGCTCACAGGTGAATGATGAGTGACGGGCCACAGGTGAATAATGAGTAAGGGGTCACAGGTGAATGATGAGTGACGGGTCACAGGTGAATGATTAGTAACGGCTCACAGGTGAATGATGAGTGACGAGTCACAGGTGAATGATGAGTGACGGCTCACAGGTGAATGTGTGGTGACCGAGGCATGGAAGGAACACATCTGAGATGACGTTCAATTTTGAGGGCTGGAACAAGCAACGCAATGGGCTCACGGCCAGATCAGGTGTTGGGCGCCTTGGTGGCATCCCAGGAGATTATGATCGGAGGGTGGCTTTGATGAACTTTCCCAAGCAGGGGGTTGAACCACGCACGGCTGTCATGTTAATTATTCTCAGCACTGGCAGCGTTTTTAAATCGTACGCGCCGAGACTGGATGAACACGACCTTGGGGTATTGTTTGTTGGCAAGAATACTGCTGAGTCTGCCAATAATCTACGTGCCAGAGGTCTCTCTCTATTTTTTTCTCGCCCCAGATCAGTATAACAATTAGATAATCATAGATTAGTGCCAGAATAAACCCCCCTCCATTGGACTCTCTGCTTGTTTATCCGTTCGATGCGAATGCCGCAGAGACGATCGCAACGTTGAGTGGAAGTTTTCCCCCAATATCGTCCCCATCGCAGTGAGTTGTTATACGCGCTTATGTATTTATGAACTATAAGCGCAGCGGTTTATAATAATAATTCGTGAATATCGTTACAGGAGTAGCGTGCTGAAGACCTGAAATGTTCAGTGAAAAATGGAACTTTAAAAATCTTTTATGTCATTATAACATAAAGATGCGTGATTTTAGGAGATATTTTCTGACCATAAAACCTACGAAAATAACACGTTTAAACACAACTAAGTTACTTTCAAACTTAAATAGTAAAACGAATAACCTAATAAAGGTAATTTAAAACTATTGTACAGCGTGGTCCAGATGTCTAGTGACCCCCATTTAATTCTCTAAAACTTTATATTGTGGTATACCAACGGGTGTATAGTGTGATGTAAGCAATATCAAATAATAATAAAAATAGGTGTAAATTAATCGAGGGGGGTCACAAGTCATCTGGATCACCCTGTACTATACACTCTTAATTTTCTAACCAGAAACTGCGGGTGCATGTTGTGTTGTGGGTTTTACTGGGGGGGGGGGGGGGGGGTGAGAGAGTAGCTGTAGGATCGTCTACCTGTTGGGGTTGTTACGTATCGTGACTATGCCATATTGATACTACACACCCAAAGCGTGGTGGAACGTGCAGCCTGGAGTCGGAATTATTGCTGTAAGACACTGTCCATTAGAATCCTCTATTGTTGTACTCTGTATTCCTATGTATGCATGTTGAAATTCTTTGGCAATTGAACACTAGTTAACATGTTCAAACGCCAAATAGAAACCTTTTGCAAGGTACCACGTCTGCAATAACCACGCACAATAATTGTGGTGAACATGCAAACAAACACGTGTGTACAGAAGCTCCCTCGCAAGGTTCCATTTTCGAGACGATTTACTTTACAGTAACGTATTTACAAGGCAAGAGTACGACTCACACGTTTCACAAGGCTATGGCTATCTGCAGCCCCGGTGGTTTCCACGAGATTAATCTCGAACAGTCCTTCTTGATGGTTTCCACCATGTAGATCTCAGACAGTCCTTCTTGATGGTTTCTACCATGTAGATCTCGGATAGTTATTATTGATGGTTTCCACCATGTAGGTCTCGAACAGTCCTTCTTGATGGTTTCCACCATGTGGATCTCAGACAGTCCTTCTTGATGGTTTCCACCATGTAGATCTCAGACAGTCCTTCTTGATGGCTTCCACCATGTGGATCTCAGACAGTCCTTCTTGATGGTTTCCACCATGTGGATCTCAGACAGTCCCTCTTGATGGTTTCCACCATGTAGATCTCAGACAGTCCTTCTTGATGGTTTCCACCATGTAGATCTCAGACAGTCCATCTTGATGGTTTCCACCATGTGGATCTCAGACAGTCCTTCTTGATGGTTTCCACCATGTTGATCTCAGACAGTCCATCTTGATGGTTTCCACCATGTTGATCTCAGACAGTCCATCTTGATGGTTTCCACCATGTAGATCTCAGACAGTCCTTCTTGATGGTTTCCACCAAGTAGATCTCCGACAGTCCTTCTTGATGGTTTCCACCATGTAGATCTCGAACAGTCCTTCTTGATGGTTTCCACCATGTAGCTCTCAGACAGTCCTTCTTGATGGTTTCCACCATGTAGATCTCGAACAGTCCTCCTTGATGGTTTCCACCATGTAGATCTCAGACATTCCTTCTTGATGGTTTCCACCATGTAGATCTCAGACAGTCCTTCTTGATGGTTTCCACCATGTGGATCTCAGACAGTCCTTCTTGATGGTTTCCACCATGTAGATCTCGAACAGTCCTCCTTGATGGTTTCCACCATGTAGATCTCAGACAGTCCTTCTTGATGGTTTCCACCATGTAGATCTCGAACAGTCCTCCTTGATGGTTTCCACCATGTAGATCTCAGACATTCCTTCTTGATGGTTTCCACCATGTGGATCTCAGACAGTCCTTCTTTATGGTTTCCACCATGTAGACCTCGGACAGTCCTTCTTGATGGTTTCCACCATGTGGATCTCAGACAGTCCTTGATGGTTTCCACCATGTAGATCTCAGACAGTCCTTCTTGATGGTTTCCACCATGTGGATCTCAGACAGTCCTTCTTGATGGTTTCCACCAAGTAGATCTCAGACAGTCCTTCTTGATGGTTTCCACCAAGTAGATCTCAGACAGTTCTTCTTGATGGTTTCCACCATGTAGATCTCAGACAGTCCTTCTTGATGGTTTCCACCATGTAGATCTCAGACAGTCCATCTTGATGGTTTCCACCATGTAGATCTCAGACAGTCCTTCTTGATGGTTTCCACCATGTAGACCTCAGACAGTTCTTCTTGATGGTTTCCACCATGTAGATCTCAGACAGTCCTTCTTGATGGTTTCCACCATGTAGATCTCAGACAGTCCATCTTGATGGTTTCCACCATGTAGACCTCAGACAGTTCTTCTTGATGGTTTCCACCATGTAGACCTCAGACAGTTCTTCTTGATGGTTTCCGCCATGTAGACCTCAGACAGTTCTTCTTGATGGTTTCCGCCATGTAGATCTCAGACAGTCCATCTTGATGGTTTCCACCATGTAGATCTCAGACAGTCCTTCTTGATGGTTTCCACCATGTAGATCTCAGACAGTCCTTCTTGATGGTTTCCACCATGTAGATCTCAGAAGTCCTTCTTGATGGTTTCCACCATGTAGATCTCAGACAGTTCTTCTTGATGGTTTCCACCATGTAGATCTCAGACAGTCCTTCTTGATGGTTTCCACCATGTAGATCTCAGACAGTCCATCTTGATGGTTTCCACCATGTAGACCTCAGACAGTTCTTCTTGATGGTTTCCACCATGTAGATCTCAGACAGTCCTTCTTGATGGTTTCCACCATGTAGATCTCAGACATTCCTTCTTGATGGTTTCCACCATGTAGACCTCAGACAGTCCTGCTTGATGGTTTCCACCATGATAATTGGTTCTTTACCCTTCTATCTGGCAACAAAACTGACACCTTTTTGCAAGGAGTCATGTTTGCATAGACCGCAATACCTGCAGTCATAATTGCGGTCTATGCAAACATGACTCCTTTCAAAAAGGTGTCAGTTTTGTTGCCAGATAGAAGGGTAAAGAACCAATTATCATATTTTTACTGGCAAATGAGGTCCCCATAGTGTGGTTTCCACCATGTAGATCTCGGACAGTCCTTCTTGATGGTTTCCACCAAGTAGATCTCAGACAGTCCTTCTTGATGGTTTCCACCAAGTAGATCTCAGACAGTCCTTCTTGATGGTTTCCACCATGTAGATCTCAGACAGTCCTGCTTGATGGTTTCCACCATGTAGATCTCGGACAGTCCTTCTTGATGGTTTCCACCATGTAGACCTCAGACAGTCCTGCTTGATGGTTTCCACCATGTAGATCTCGGACAGTCCTTCTTGATGGTTTCCACCATGTAGATCTCGGACAGTCGGCCCCGATGTCGTCCACCTGCAGTCGTCCTTCAGGCCCGACCACGGGCCTCGCTCCCCCTTATATCCCCACTCGGCTACGCCCCGGTAACTTCCAGTACTTTCCGCCTGGCGGATTCTTCCAGCAGACTTTACCGTTTTCTACTTCCCTTCTTGAACCTTCCCTCGTACAGTACCCAGCACTTGCTTCCACCCACTTCCACTGACCCCACTACAACCCTTGTCATGTACCCTACACATGCTCTGATAATAATACATGGCATTGTCTTTGAAACGTATTGGCTTACACCAGAGACAGCCTTCTTTATGGCCATGAAGGCCATAGATAAGTCGATGAACAGGCTAATCCAAAATTTGGACGGGTAAAAATGAGGCATGATCGATGGGTTGCAAGCCAACATATTTTCTGGAACAGCGTTGTGGACTTTGTTCCGCCCAAAAAAAATACGTAAGCCCTGCAACAGCGTGCGATGATGTTTGTGGATTTCACAGTTCGGCAACTAAAAGCGCCACTTGTCACACACGATGGCCTTCCGTATGTTCGAGCGACCCGAACATGCCGAGGCCTACAACCTCTACCACCCCGGGGTGCCGGACGCCGCCTTCGCAGCGATCATGGACTACGTGCGTGCCAAGGTGTGGAGCTTTTAAACCTGTGCGGTAAAAAACACACACGCAACAACACACGGACGGGCTTTGTCGTGATATATAACCATGGTATCTCCTCCGTACGATATAAAATCAAAAGGGGGATCGTTGTTTTCGTCCGTTTTCTTCGCTGTAGCTATATACCGTGATTGACGTGGGCGTTTTGTCTTTGCGTGTTTTTGCGTTTTTATTTTCCTGACCAAGTTATGTACGAAAAGTCGAAAAATTTAAGTTCCATAAAAAAAGTTTGACATTCGTGAGCATACTGTAGTTGATAGACTTATTTAATAATTTGGTGTGTCACTTATGGCATGCGCGGTTTAAGCAGGGTGCGATTTGATGGGGGAAGGGGGGGGGGAGTTAATGCTGCGTGCAATGCCAATGAAGTAATTTGCAGTAACATTTTCAACATTGGGATGTTTGGACAAGCCCAATTATACACTGTATGGGTTTTTGGTTTTGTCTTTAGCTATGGGAGGGAACCGGACAAACCGGTGGAAACTCATGTGAAGCAGGGGTGGGGCACACAAACTCCACACAGAGAGGAGATCGAGTTGGGAGTCAAACCCAGGCTAATTCTTACTGCGAGGCACGAATGATAAAACCACCGTGCCACCACGGAGAAGTGAACTCCCTCGCCTGGTATAGAGGAGGGCGTGGGTTCGATCCCGACCCTGATGCCTGCTGCTGTATATTTGGAGTTTGCGTGTCTCTCTCATCATCATCACGGTGGCTAGGATATGTTCACTACCTCGCCTGGTATACAGGAGGTCGTGGGTTCGATCCCGACCCTGATGCCTGCTGCTGTATATTTGGAGTTTGCGTGTCTCTCTCTCTCCCCGTGGTCACGTGGATTTTTCTCCAGGTCCTCCAGTTTTTCCCTCCACATTTTAGAAACATGAGTTTAGAGTATTTGGCTGCTATAAATGTCCACACGATAAGCCACTTTGTTGAGCTATCACGAGTTGCCAGGTCGCTTCTGAAAAAGACCTACGTAGTTCAGTGGGCCTAACCTGGTAAAATAAAAAATGAAAAGTTTCGTTTTAGCTGTCCCATTGGACAAACAAACAGAGTGCGGTGGGGTTTTTTTGGCACGCGGATTTTTATTCTGCCAATAATATACAAAGAGGTTTCATATTTGTATTTACTGTTATAATCTGAACGTAGAAAAACATTCCGGTATGTTAGATTGTTGGCGGAATATGATTAACATTATTGCTGCATCGAGAGTGTACACGCCCCGTGCTTACGCATGAGCAAGAAAAAACAAAGGCACGTGTGTGAACACGTACCGAGCGACAGACGCATTGCTTCCAATAAACATGCGGTTGTCATCGTGCTTGCTCGCGCTTACAATCACAGACATGTTCTGTCAGTTCCCATGCCGAGCCACAACTCCGCCACGGAGGGCTCTGTGTGTACAGCCGTCCCCTGTGGGCTGGCCTCCGTCGTGATTTAATGAACGCAGTCGTCTGGTGGCACGGGTGGTAACTCGTACGCTGAAGTTTGCATCAGCGGCGAGGTGGACTCTGAACCCCGACCCGGGCAACCCCCCTAGGTCGACGGTGTGTAAACGTCGGCATTAGGGAGACAAAGGCGGCCCAGGTGTGGTGCTGCCCATACCGCCCCTTCGTGTGCTCTTCCGGCCTTAATAGGTGCTCTCGAACAGCACTTGTCACAGCTATGCTGGGAATGTGTTGCGTGCAGCGTGTGTGTGTGTGTCCATGTGTTTTGTGTTGGCGGAGTGGGGAGTGGTGGCGTAGCGGTGAGCGCGCTGCGCTATGAACCCGGCGACCCGAGATCGATTTCGGTTCACGGCCAACACCGGTGAACTGCTCCTCGGCTTCCCCTAGGTCGACTCGGCCTCAAATGAGTACCTAGTGCTGTGTGTAGGCGGTGCCACTGGGGAGACAAAGCCGGTCGGGCGTGGTGCTGGCCACCCACCTAAACGTGTATTGTTTCGGCCTTCATAGGTGCTACTCGCCAACAGCACTTTCCCTAAAAGTCTGTTGAGGCTATATACGGGGGGAATCTTTGTCTTTGTTGTTCATATATAGGAATTTGATTTGTTTCTAACATCGGTGGCAGACGAAATCGCAACCGGTCCTTCACCCTCCCCCTTCACCCACCCGTAATGACCAAATTGGTGAAGTATGATGATGATAAAAAAAAACCTTCGTGCTCGACATGACAGAGGGAGGAGGTCTTCGTCCATGGGAGGGGGGGGGGGTATTGAAATTGGTTGGAATTTAAACACCAGCCCAGTAAACGTACAACTTCGTGGCCAACCTTGACTCAACGTTTGTGCATTTGCAGTACGAGAAAACTTTACTTTTTTAATTTTATTTACTTGGAATAACCCTGTGAGCCATTCGGCTCTTGATTCGGGTGCAACCGCAACAAACAAAAAACTAAAACATGAACAAGAAAATATTTTAAAGTGACTATGTGACTAAGTGCAAACAGAAAAATCCAGGGAAAAAACAGCAAAAATCTTCCAGAAAAAGCACCGTACACCAACGCTGTGTGCAAAAATCCCAGTGGGATGCAAGTCAAACAACAACAACCAAATTTACTGTACGCAAATTGAAACATCCCCTACAAAAACAATAAAATCTTCCAGAAAAAACGCACCGTTTGTTTATGCTGCGTACTAAACCGTGCAAAAATAAATCCCATTTTGATGTTAAAACTGATGATGATAGAGCAGAGCGTTAATGGCCCTAACCTGAGAGTCTGAACTTGACTAAGCCACGAGTGTGCTTCTTTGTTTTTCGTTTCGCCGAATGATATTTGTGATATTGTTGAGCGTTTCCGAGCGGCAGGAAACGCTGCCTCCTATTTCGCGTTCAGTATCTATGATCACATTGCTTACATTGCTTTTTTGGCTTTATTTTGGTGAATTCGAAAAGTATTTGGTTTGGCCATGTTTGTTTGTTGTAGTACGGAGTTAGACTGATGGCCTTAATCTAAGTTGTCTTGTGGTTGTTGTTGTTGTTGTTGTTTGACTTGCATCCCACTGGGATTTTTGCACACAGCTTTGCTGTTTTTTCCTGGATTTTTCTGTTTGCACATAGTCACTTTAAGATGTTTTCTTGTTCATGTTTTTGTTTTTTGCTTGTTGCGGTTGCACCCGATTCAATAGCCGAATGGCTCACAGGGCTATACCAAATAAATGACACGGAAACTGAGTGTCTACATCACGGGAGCCTCCCTTGCCACTATCAAAATATGAGAAATAGGTTTCACCCTTTCTGGCAATAAAACAGGAGGTTTTAAGATGTTCAAACACCAAACTGAAACCTTTTGCAAAGCCGTTTCACCGCAGGGTGACTGCGGTGAAAAGATGTACACACACGAGTCAAACTACGGTCGACACGCGACCGAAGCCCGTTCAAGCCATCAGCCGCCAGATGACGCTCCATTCACGCTCGTGCACCTACTGGATCGGTGGCACGAGCCGTAAGTTGCGTTAACAACAGAGCAAGGACACACACCGATGTTGCGATGCGAAAGTCGCGTATCGGATGTACGTCTCGAACTTGTCAATAAACCGCAGTTGACGTTTGTAACACCAGTTCTGCAATAATTTGCTAGAATCAACAACCCTCTTCCAATGCCTTTAAAAATGGCTGGACCTCCATTCAGTCTTTCCCCGGGACTTTTTTGTTTTGTTTCAAGAGTTCTAGATTTGAAGCTTTCGTGACTGCAAGGATTCATACTCTTAGGTTTTTTTCGGTAAAGTCACGTAGGTTAAACAATAGTAATAATAATAAATTTAGTTATTTTCATTTATTTTAATTTTATTATTTTGTTTCAAGAGTGTTGTCAGAAAGCATCCCCTCCCCTCCATCTGATGGTAAACTCCTTTGCGTTTATATTCTTGGTTATTTCCTTTACGTTTGGTTGCGTGACCCAGCCAGTCGTTTTCCACAGTGCGCTGTTAATGTCAGCATTGAGTTTGTTTTGTAAATGCAAAGATCCACAACACTCAGTTTTATCACGTAGGCTTTCGCGACCAATATCATTAATTTCATACAGGATTTTGGGGTGGGGGGGGCAAGGAATCAAGTCTGCATTAACCACGCGTACTTTGTGGTGAACCTGCAAACAAAAAAACACACGAGTGTTCACGTTGGCTCCAACAGTGTCGTCGATCAAAATACAGGTTTTTTTTTTTTGGGTAAGATCGCGTAAATATTTACGGGATCTAACCCCCCCACCCCAAAATCCTGTATGAAATTAATGATATTGGTCGCGAAAGCCTACGTGATAAAACTGAGTGTTGTGGATCTTTGCATTTACAAAACAAACTCAATGCTGACATTAACAGCGCACTGTGGAAAACGACTGGCTGGGTCACGCAACCAAACGTAAAGGAAATAACCAAGAATATAAACGCAAAGGAGTTTACCATCAGATGGAGGGGAGGGGATGCTTTCTGACAACACTCTTGAAACAAAATAATAAAATTAAAATAAATGAAAATAACTAAATTTATTATTATTACTATTTTTTAACCTACGTGACTTTACCGAAAAAAACCTAAGAGTATGAATCCTTGCAGTCACGAAAGCTTCAAATCTAGAACTCTTGAAACAAAACAAAAAAAGTCCCGGGGAAAGACTGAATGGAGGTCCAGCCATTTTTAAAGGCATTGGAAGAGGGTTGTTGATTCTAGCAAATTATTGCAGAACTGGTGTTACAAACGTCAACTGCGGTTTATTGACAAGTTCGAGACGTACATCCGATACGCGACTTTCGCATCGCAACATCGGTGTGTGTCCTTGCTCTGTTGTTAACGCAACTTACGGCTCGTGCCACCGATCCAGTAGGTGCACGAGCGTGAATGGAGCGTCATCTGGCGGCTGATGGCTTGAACGGGCTTCGGTCGCGTGTCGACCGTAGTTTGACTCGTGTGTGTACATCTTTTCACCGCAGTCACCCTGCGGTGAAACGGCTTTGCAAAAGGTTTCAGTTTGGTGTTTTAACATCTTAACACAGCTGTTTTATTGCCAAAAAGTGTAACACCTACTCTTCTAGAGTTGAAGGGGTTGCATCAAGGACGGGCCGCCCGTGATTGTCCGCAGATTTTAAAGGCTGCGGAATGTATTTTGTCGTTTTCGGTCTTTCTCCCTATGCCTGGCCCCTGGTACTAAACGCCTGATTGAGCTGAAAGACCTGTTTATCACCATTTGCGGCGTGACAAATTACATTTATTTTCACGGTAAATGTTAATAACACTCATTTCCAGAGTTTCACATTCATGACCACAATTCAGAGTTCTTGGTTCTTTCAATAAAGTCACGTAGAAGGGAAATAATAAAATAATAAAATAAAACATAATAAAATACAATTCTAACGACGATTCGGTCACAACGCAAGCAGCCGTCCTCAGGTGAAGAACAGGTCTGTCGGAAAGACAGCGTCTGAATGAGCACCACCAGGCTTGGCAGCGTATATTTAAGCTGGGTTAGAGGGGGAAGGGCGCCTTGACAAAGGGATTTGTATATCAGCAGAGGAATTGAGAATATTTATGGAAAATGCAGATATGGGATTAGTCACTACTTGTGGAATGTGTAGGAGGTGGGGGGGGGTCTCAAAGTCATATTATGCTCGTGTATTATGTAGGATTAGCAGTAATCCCTGCAGTCACGAAAGCTTTAAATCGACAATTCAAACTGTTCGGAAAAAGTAAATGGGCTTGGGCAGGCCACGTCACCTAAAAGGTACCATGGCCAGTGGTCAATGATGACGACGATGAAAATAACAACAGGAGTGGCTGCCAAGGGATGGAACAATCACCCCCATTCTAGATTTGAAGCTTTCGTGACTGCAAGGATTCATATTCTTAGGTTTTTTCGGTAAAGTCACGTAGGTATCTCTTGTAATCTCTCATTTACTTGATACAGCTGTCGTGGCTGTGACGGTTCCACCTGAAGACGGAAGCTTGTGTTGCCTCCGAAACGTCGCTATTTTTATTTTATTTTACTTTTATTCATTTAAATTTTTTACCTACGTGACTTTACCGAATCACCCCCATAACTCGCCCCCCCCCCCGCCCCCCTAACCTTTGTGTCCACCACTGATGGCGAACCGGGGACTTGCTGGGCACTCCGCAGACCGGCGGCGTGCCAAGTCTTGCCGTGGACGTGGGCTGTGGCAGCGGGCAGTGCACCCAGCTGCTGTCGAAGTACTGCACGCGCGTGGTCGGGGTGGACGTGAGCGAAGCCATGATCCGCGAGGCGACTCGAGTCAACAGCACGGAGAACATCGCCTACACGTAAGGGGCAGCGTGCCACGGCGGCGATTCTTTGACCTCGCCGACCCTTAAGAGGGAACTTTGAGCTTTTGGCTCTGCGCCTCCTGAATATCTCGAAACAATGAATTTCAACATGTCGAAATCTGTCATCCAGGCTGCTGAAATCTGAATCGGCGGGGCCCCCTCTCTCTCGTTCGCAGCTTTTTAAAAAATCCTTTATACTAAGTTCACTTGCTTGCTTGCTTGCGCGCTTACGACCGTGCAAATCTTTCGGTCGTTTTTTAACCCACTTCCCGTGATCCAATGGAGCTGACATTTTGCACACAGACTCGTTGTGCGTGACAATGTATTTTCGTTAAAAAAATTTTTCCAAAATTTTACACTTTTTAGGATTTTTTTTACATGTAATTACCAATTGCTTAATGGTGGCAGGCAATCATCTGACTCATAGGTGGCAGCCATCTCAAGCCAGAGGACGAGAGGACTCTAGCCGCCCGTTTCAAAGACCAATGTCCTTATATACGACTTTCCTTATATTTAATTTAAAATACCAATGTGATAAAAATGAAACTCTTACTCAAGAAAAACAGAAATGAATAATAAAATAAAACCGATGCCACGCATATGAAGGATTTATAGTGAAAAACTTTGTTTTTACGGGTTAATTTTTTTCCAAATCGGTTTCTGGGATTACGCCGTGCACGCGTGGCTCAAGATCCAATCGCCGAGTCGCTGATGAATAACGCCTACCCTTCCCTCTCCTGTAGCAACGGGGTGCGTGTAGAAGAGGCCTCGCTAACAGCTTGGCAATCGCGCCTTCAAATACGTGATGTGCAGCGGCAAAGATACGGTACAAAAATCTCGCTTGGCGCCATCCCTGGGCCGAAACACGCGACCAAGCGCAACATATTTTATGTTATCCCAGGTACGCCCGCACTGGCTACAAACGCAGCAATCCATCCAGCTCCTGCACACGAGCTGATGTCGCTCCATCTACTTGGTGGACGTGCTCTGAGACCCTCTCCCCCCCCCCACCAGCTGCCACTTTTATTATTAATTGACCACCCGCCATTATCCCTCCTGTCAGTGCGTCCTTGCCCAAGCCCACTTACTTTTCTGAACAGTACGGAAGGTGCCATTGATCAGCTCGTGTTCTCCAATTCGCGTGTCGCTCCGTCTCTCAATGTCATCCCAAGCACGCATCTTGCCTTGCAGCCATCCCACCCTTTGTAAATCCTTTATATTAAGTTCGCTTGCTTGCTTGCTTGCGCGCTTACGACTGTGCAAATCTTTCGGTCGTTTTTTAACCCACTTCCCGTGATCCAATCGAGCTGACATTTTGCACACAGACTCGTTGTGCGTGACAATTTATTTTCGTAAAAATTTTTTCCATAACTTTACACTTTTTAGGAAAAAATAAATGATATTTAATTACCAATTGCTTAATGGTGGCAGGCAATCATATGACCCATAGGTGGCAGCCATCTCAAGCCAGAGGACGAGAGAACTCTAGCCGCCACGCATATAAAGGATTTATAGTGAAAAACTTTGTTTTAACGGGTTAAATTTTTTTAGCAACGTGTCCCGTGTGAGCCCACTTCTTAAGAAGACGAAATTACATCTAACGTTTTTTTTTTTGTTCGGTTGCATTTGCGGTCGCCCAGTAAGTCACACATCGTCCCAGTTTATTTTTTTTTAAATAATCCTAATTTGCCAATCTAGGCCGGCTGCTGTGCGTTGACTTTGGTTTGAAGGGTCGGCACGGCGGAGAAGCTCCCCTTCCTGGACGGCTCCGTGGGCCTCCTGTGCGCAACGTCGGCCGCCAACGTCTTCAATTTGCCCGACTTCGTGCGAGAGGCGGCGCGGGTCCTGCAGCCAGGCGGCTGCCTCGCCATCTATGCCATGCTCTACCCAATGCGGCTCAAGTACGGTGGCATCTCAAGCGAGCTGACCGCCATCCTCCATGAGGTAGCCCAACAACAACAACAAAAACCGCTCGCTGGCAGCTCGTCGTTGTGGACCGGTCGTGGCCCAGGCCCCCCCCCCCCCCCCACGAGTGGAAATGAGCAAGAGAAAGAAGCAAAGAACCACAAACTAAATAAATCCCTGAATACTTCTCCGCTCATTATGAAGATTATCAACTGCATACATCGCCCTTCACATGGAACTTGGACAAAACTTGTTACCCTTAGAGACGGAAAGGTTAGAGAACGTTCGCGGGCTTGCGGTGATGCGATGTGGCATCGCCGACAAATCATTTACCGTTGAATGCAGAGGTTCACGTTCCAAACCCGGCATAAATCCCGATTTTCTTACTGGAAGTGTAATTAACTGTAATAATACGTGCCATCTGCTTCGCCAGTGAGGACAAAGATTCTTGATGTCATTCGCATTCTGCGCTGATACCGGGGTCCAAATTTGCGGCGAAATTGTCTAAAATTACCTGCAAAATTACCCAATTGGGATTATAAATATCAATCGTCGTCCCCCTACTGGCAGACTTCAAGCCCAATTTGCAGACGAGGTGCCGAGTCCACCCTGTGCCCACGGAGACGGCTGTCACTGGCGGTGGGGAGGGGGGCAGTGACCCATGAGATGGGGATGTGTAAGAGGGCATTATATCAAAAGCAATGAATGATTATCATTCAAAGACCTCCAATGTTGACCGTTAAGAATATAAAATACAAAGTGGCCTCGGGCAGGACACGTCGGACGGTGGCCGATGGTCAAAGGCTCAACGACAAAGTGGAGAGAGCTCGGGGAGGATGTCGACCGCCGAGGAAGAAACCACGAATTCGGCTGCCGTGCGTGCTGCCAGGTGAATTCATACATCGCAGAACCTTGAGAGATGGGGGAGGGCTTGTGGTGGGGGAGGGGGGGCGGCCTTCAATCAGCAGTCAATTGATCGTGGGGCCCGATATTTGATGGCGATTGTAAGACGGGCCAAATTTCCCCACGCATCCACGGCGTGTGTTTGCAGATGCTGGAGGAGCTCCGTCCGTACGAACACGAGAGGATGCGTCACCTGCGGAATGGCTACGCTGACATCTACACGGGCATCACCTTCGCTGACAAGGAGCGGTGAGAATTCATCACCGTCCAGCGTGACAGGGCCTTTGCTCTTTCGCCTATTTAAAAATAATCTTTTGCCGGCGTTGAAAACAGGGGATATTAGTTAAGTGAATAAAAAAAAAGAATAATTTGGGCCTCTAAATTTTTTATTTAAAGGTTTCCTTGACTGCAGGGATTCATATTCTTGGTTCTTTCGGTAAAGTCACGTAGAAGGGAAATAATAAAATAATAAAAATATGAAACAATACAAATTCTCACGACGTTTCGACTGCACAACAAGCAATCATTATCAGGTGTGAAATCAACACCTGATGATGATTGCTTGCGTTGTGAGAATTTTTGAAAATAACCACCCCCACACATCTTTCTAAAGGCCGTGAACGCCACCTGCAGCAAGCCACGGTCAACATGTTCCCTTATCCATCGGGAACACAACACAGAGTTGCAAACTGTCAAATGTTTGACCATTTTAAGATGTCAAATGTCGAAATACATATTATCCAGGTACACTAAGGGGTACTGCTGGTCACATAAAATGGTTACATTGAGAATCCATAATATAGGTGTTTTTGGGTTAGATCGCATAAATATGAATTTTGTTAAACCCGCGACCACCCCACACAGGCAATTAGTGAGGTTTGTCACGTAAACAGAACGTGGCCAATTCGTCACTAGTACAGCACACCGGTGTGTTGGAGAGCAACGCCACAACATTTACAATCTGAGTAACGACGTTTTGCCAGTAATTGCAACTAGCTTCATCAGGCGAGAGCCAGATTTGCGGAGAAGTCCTCCTGTTTCGTTCCTTAAATAGAGGCGTAGATGTGGTGACGTCACTTGAGCAGTTCTTGGGCGACGTGGGGGGGGGGGGGATTAATTAATGTAAATGACAGTGGGTATGCTTTGCCGGTTGGGTTATTTACATGGCAATCAACGTACATTTTGCATGCGCATTATCCAAGCCCAGAGTTACTTGTACCGCCTGTCGATTGGGAATGTCACAAAACATGGCTGATTTGGAGGGGGGGGGGGGGTAAACCCTGTAATGGTAATTTTCTGTGTCGCTGGTAGGCACGTGAATGGCAGCCACAGCTATACTGGATGTGGCGTGCCGGGTGTGGACACATTTTCCAGGTTTTGGACAGAACCGGCTTAAAAATAGGCTCCGGTTGTCTTTCTAAGGGGAGATGGCTCCTTGCTGGTGGTGTTTTTGTTCTGCTCTCGGCTCTCAGGAAGGAGGGCATTGAGCTGTCCGTACAGGTGACACTGCAGGATCTGCTGAGGTTCATCGGCTGCTTTTCCGAATACCAGGCGCTGCGGAAAGAGGACCCTAAACGCGGGGACACCTTCATGCAGTCTCTAGAGCAGAGGTTCGTGTGTGTGTGTGGTAACATTCATAAGTGGTTGAAATTCACAATTTCGAGCATGTGCTACATGTTAAACAAAAATGTTTATGTACGGCAGTCGAACGAGTCCCCAGTTGGCCTGTGGCCACATCTGCGGCACGAAAGGTTTGCTGCTGCCTTGCTGGACGCATTTGATTCTATGCTTCTACAAGCTTACGACTCATCTTCTTCACGAGTCAATATCAATTATATTTTTTGTAAAACAATTGCTTCATTACTTTACTTTTTCATTAACCTTACGACTGCTTCGTCTTCTCTTCTGTCGGCTCAGCCTTTCCTTTTTAGGACCCGCCCCTCTTTGTTTAGGCCCTGCCCCTTGGGTGGTGGCGGGTTGTGTGGTGGTGGGGGTCGATTGGGTGGTGGTGGGTTGTGTGGTGGTGGGGGTTGGTTGGGTGGTGGTGTGGGCGGGTTCTGTGGTGGTGGGGGTCGGTTGGGTGGTGGTGGGTTGGATGGTGGCGGGGGAGGGTTGGGTGGTGGTGGGAGCGGGTGGGGTGGTGGTGGGGCGTCGGTTGGGTGGTGGTGGTGGTGGTGGGTTGGGTGGTGGTGGGAGCAGGTGGGGTGGTGGTGGGGGCGGGTTGTGTGGTGGTGGGGGTCGGTTGGGTGGTGGTGGGGGTGGGTTGGGTGGTGGTGGGGGTCGGTTGGGTGGTGGTCGGTTGGATGGTGGCGGGGGAGGGTTGGGTGGTGGTGGGGGTGGGGGCGGGTTGGGTGGTGGTGGGGGGGGGTTGGGTGGTGGTGGGGGTCGGTTGGGTGGTGGTGGGTTGGATGGTGGCGGGGGAGGGTTGGGTGGTGGTGGGGGTGGGTTGTGTGGGGGTGGGGGCGGGTTGGGTGGTGGTGGGGGGGGGTTGGGTGGTGGTGGGGGTCGGTTTGGTAGTGGATGGGGGCGGGTGGGGTGGTGGTGGGGGGCGGGTTGTGTGGTGGTGGGGCAGGTTGTGGATGAAGGGGGCGTGTCCCTGGCTCAGCTACCTGAAGATGACAATCCTGGTAAAATCAGGACAGAACTTGAACGTCAGGATATGCTCTTTCTACTTCCTCTCCCATTGATTTTTTTTTTATAACTATAACATCGTCTCAATGCTGCAGTGGAATTCTCTCACAGAGCCCAATGTGCTGCTGCAATCATTTGCCTGCCATAGTGGTGGTGTCTGTTGTACCGTAGTAGTTGTCATCGTACTTTTTGAATGTCAGTGTTGCGTTCTGAGTTCGACGGATGGTGCGGTGTGCTTCAGGTTGCAGGAGGCGATGGGCAGAACTGCTCCTGACACCGAACTGGAGTTGAATGCCGACACGGCAGTGCTGCTGGCTTGCAAAACCCCGACAGCTTAAATTATTCCCGTCCCCTCGAAAGTAATTAAACGATTGTTTTACATTAATTCTAGATTTGAAGCTTTCGTGACTGCAAGGATTCATATTCTTAGGTTTTTTCGGTAAAGTCCGCGAGCACAAGTCAGATCTGAAACACGGCAGAACTGATTCTTCAGCCGTTGCCGATCATTGCTACAACTCGGTGGGCTCTCATGAAATTGTCTTTTTCGAGACCAAGGTTCTCTGCAAACCTCCTGGCTACCATCAAAGGTTTGTACACGAAGCCATACAAATATACAAACACAGACATAATTTCAACCGTGATGACGGTTACAAACTGAGTAATCATTGGAAAGATGTGATTAACCATGCAAAAGAGATTTAACTACACTTATTTGGACCATCTTATTTGACAGACAACTATTACAAGTTACTGATAGACAGCCAGTTCTGTTTTACCAGGTTTAGCTATCTTTTTTCACACTTTTGTTATGTAGGCCAGGCTTAGTCACAAACCGAACCTCTCCATAACAAAGGCTCAGTCACTTGTTATGCAGTCTATTCTTAGTCTTAAGCCTCACCTTACCATATTAATCAAAAGTGTGCCGTTCCTGGCCCTTCCCCCCTCAACCATTATATATACGGAGTGGTATCTCTTGTAATCTCTCATTTACTTGATACAGCTGTCGGGCTGTGACGGTTCCACCTGAAGACGGAAGCTTGTGTTGCCTCCGAAACGTCGTGATTTTTATTTTTATTTATTTTTTATTTTTCTTAATTTTAATTTTTTTACCTACGTGACTTTACCGAAAAAAACCTAAGAATATGAATATAATTGTTTTACAAAAAATATTATTGTTTTATTTTTATTATTTTATTACTTCCCTTCTCCGTGACTTTACCAAAAGAACCAAGAAAATATATAATTGATATCGACTCGTGTTTTTCTAATTGACGGCCGAATAAAACGTGGCGAACTTTGGAGCTTCCACCTGGAGTTTACGCCGCGTGCATTTTCTCATCAACCATTTGTTTTGAGGGTGCTCGTGGTTTCCGAAATTAAGTTACTAACAGACAAAGATCCCCCCCGTATAGCCTTAACACACTGTTGGGGCAAGTGCTGTTAGCGAGTAGCACCGATCAACGGTACACGAGGGGGTGGGTGGCCAGCATCACGCCCGACCGCCTTTGTCTCCCCGGTGGTGATGTTTACACACCACACCAGGTTACTCATTTAAGGCCGAGTCGACCTAGGGGAGGCCCAGGACCGGTTCATGTAATCCTAACAGGTGTTGGCCGTGAGCGGGAATCGAACTCGGGGTCGCTGGCTTCGTAGTCCCCACACAATCACACAGACTCTGTGCGTGCCACGTCACACACGGGCAGAGCAGATCACCGAAATGCATTGACGCGTGAGAACAAGTATAACCCGTAAAAACAAAGTTTTTCACTATAAATCCTTTATGTGAGTGGCGGCTAGAGTCCTCTCGTCCTCTGGCTTGAGATGGCTGCCACCTATGGGTCAGATGATTGCATGGCAGCATTAAACAATTGGTAATTAAATATAATATTTTTGTCCTAAAAAGTGTAAAATTTTGGAAAAAAATTTTCACGAACATTGTCACGCACAACGAGTCTGTGTGGAAAATGTCAGCTCGATTGGATCACGGGAAGTGGGTTAAAACACGACCGAAATATTTGCACGGCGCACAGAAATAGCATCCGTCTGTACCCCCCCTCCCTCTCCCCAATGCACACCTCCGATGCGCACGGTAGGCTACGTCATCGTGCAAACGCCGGTGTCGTCATCGTGCAAACGTCGGTGTCGTCATCTACAAACGCCGGTGTCGTCATCGTGCAAACGTCGGTGTAGTCATCGTGCAAACGCCGGTGTCGTCATCGTGCAAACGTCGGTGTCGTCATCGTGCAAACGTCGGTGTCGTCATCGTGCAAACGCCGGTGTCGTCATCGTGCAAACGTCGGTGTCGTCATCGTGCAAACGTCGGTGGGGTCATCGTGCAAACGTCGGTGTCATCATCGTGCAAACGTCGGTGTCGTCATCGTGAAAAAGTCGGTGTGGTCATCGTGCAAACGTCGGTGTCGTCATCGTGCAAACGTCGGTGTGGTCATCGTGCAAACGTCGGTGTCGTCATCGTGCAAACGTCGGTGTCGTCATCGTGAAAAAGTCGGTGTGGTCATCGTGCAAACGTCGGTGTCGTCATCGTGCAAACGTCGGTGTCGTCATAGTGCAAACGTCGGTGTCGTCATCGTGCAAACGTCGGTGTCGTCATCGTGAAAAAGTCGGTGTCGTCATCGTGCAAACGCCGGTGTCGTCATCGTGCAAACGTCGGTGTCGTCATCGTGAAAAAGTCGGTGTCGTCATCGTGCAAACGCCGGTGTCGTCATCAACTCCTCCGCCGTACAAATGAAGACGGGAGAAAACGTGACAAGGCAAAGCACGCACGCAACACAACCACATTTTGCACAAACGTTTATTAAACAAGCAGCCCATTCAATTTGTACACTCCAATGCAATTTCACGAATCAAGTCCCAACATTTAACCACTATATATTTTTTAAGTTATTAAAAAAAAAATGATCGGTGGTTAACAAACTGTTTTTTTGTAACTCCAAAGTAGTTTTTTTTTTACAAAAAAAAATATTAAAACCGTGCAGATATCCTTTCCCAGGTAAAACAACGCAAACGATTAACCGGGGGGAGGGGGGATGGGACGGGACGGGACAAAGAGGTGAACAGCATTTCAGTTGTGCAGGACTCATCGACGCCTACACGGTAATTGCCAGTGGTGATCAGTCCAGCAGTGTGCGCCTTCGACTTCTGAAGAATAAGCAGTCGTGCCCGACTCGTACGAGGATTCCAAATAAAAAGAATAAAACGGCAGATGTTGTTGCCGGGCCGCCGTTGCTCGCCGCTCTGTGTACAACGACGACGAAGATTCTAAAAGTCTGAACTTTAACAGGTCCACCGAGAGAGCCGTGCAGCGGACGGCACACCTTTGCTGAACATCGACAAAGAAAAATGTACCCGTCGCGCAGTAACGGGGGCCACAAAAAGAAAAGGTCGTCAGGATTTTTTCCCAACAAAAAAAACGAAATAATTACCGCGGGTTGACGTTCGCCAGAGCGAAGGTTACGACAAAAATGATACACGCGAGTCGAAATATGGACGTGTGAAATTAAATAATCGTTTGAGCATACTTCACTATGCTGGTAAAGTATGGACGGCCCAGTACGTGCACAGATATTATCTCGCCACCGATGCCAAGTTATGGCTGGGAATTGAATCGAGGCCCTCGGTGTTTATATAGCGCAGTGCGCTAACCACTCGGCCACCACTCCCACCTGGTGAAATGAGAGCCGGGGCAATTGAAGCTGCACAGTATCTCCTGAACAAAAAAAAAACACGGCCACATAGCATATCACAAAACCAACCCCCCAAAACAAAATACCCACGATATCCGCTTCCCAATTTCTTTCTAGCCATAAGTTAATCGTGGGTGAGTTCATCACGCTGGTGGTCATGACTGCATTTAAATACTTCTCTTCTTCTAAAATGTAAATACGTTATTCTCCCGTTGAACCAGCCACACGTATATATTTTTGTTTAAAACGTTGATATACCAAATTTACATATTTTCAGACCTAAGAAGAGCGGATGACTAAAAACCGTGTGCGCGCATAGTCTCCTACAACGCGTGGTTTAACACGTGCCCAAGATACGCGCGTAGATCTTGGTGCGACACCGGGTGTAGGAGTGGCCAGCCCTGCTCGCAACACCATGGGCCGGTTCCGTTTTTAATCCGTGCGCTCCCGAAATGAACGATTCTACATTTCGGACCCGGCAACCACATTTGAAAACTATGATCCCCCCTCGGGCGGTCGGGGAGGTTACACGGACATCAACAACAACAACAAAAAAGACTCAATATTCCAGTGCTCGGCAATTAGATACACACGTGAACATGACGGTTATATACACACACACAGAACACGTGATTTTGTTTTAACACTTTCTCAAAGTAACATTATTTTCAAGCAATATAATACAGAGATCAAAATATAATAAGTGGCTATATTAGGCACAGTTTATCTTGCATCAATCCTCAAATCGGTTTAACACTCGATGCAATGTCCCTTTTAAAGTTGTAAAAATGTTAACGTTTGTACAAAAATCGACGTTCATAAGAGTGCCGCAAAAAAACAAACAAGAGAAACAAGGCTTTAATGACCAACACAGGTCAGGCGACATTTTAGAGTGAACTCGCTAAATTGTAGCAGTCATTAAAAAAAAATCAGTGCGGCTAGCAATCAACAACAAAAACAATAGTGGCTTCAGTTTGAACAGGTACTCATCGGGTCCAGGTTCGTGCCTCGACTGAATGACCGAAACGGATGGGTCGCTGCTGCGATGCTGCCCTCTTTGCTGGCGATGGAAACATTCTGCGCATTTGTCACAAAATATTTAATCGGATGAAAAGCACCGCTGGGCAGCGCGTGACTTGCGGCCATCGTCTGCGCGAAGCATCACAGTCCAAATTTGAAAAATTGCTTGCAAATTATGAAATTGGGGGGTGGGGGGGGACAAAAACAGCAACATTGCAAGACTAATGCCGATTTGACTGCTGTGCAGAGCACACTGTGCAGTGGAGGTGACAGCTGCCACTGGGGAGCCACTTGGTTGCCACTTGGCTAGACCATAGCAGGGCATTGGAACCGGTGGAGATGATGCGTGATGATGCGAGGCGCGCTTTGGAAGTTGGACAAGGCTTTCGAGCAAGCGCCCCGTTACATTACGCAAACCCTTACACCATGAAGGGAAATCGGTGGCGAGTTGCACGTTGGTGAACCGTAACTTTCATCCAACATTCGCAAGAATGGTTACCAATGGTTCCACGAACGAGGTGTGACGTTACAAAAGGCAATCGAAGTTTTGATGCCATTTTGCGAGGGCGTGAATCTGAACCGGACGACGACAAAATCAGTAGACGTCGAACCAAAACAAAGTTACATTGTTGCTCAAGAGGAGGTGCCCGTGGCATTGCTGCAACAACTCTCCTGAACGTACAGGAGGAGAAACACTGCACACGGGGTATCCCTCGATTTACGAAACGCTGGGGTTTTTTTTACGAAATGTCGCGTTAATGTATAACTTGAACGAATCACGGACACGATTTCGATGAATTTTGAATCGAATCTCCGGGTTAAATGAAATGTCAATACGTCAAGTCCGCGCAGTGACATCGTCAAGTGAGAAGCCACAGCCGGGAGGCTGACATCGTCACGGTGTCACTTGCAGTGGCAACGGTGATGCCCCCAGAACGCCGCCGCCGCCACCTTGCCAGCCATCCCAACACGCGGCAGGATCTTTTGGCGAGTTCGCCGAAAAGGTCAATTACACTGGTCAACAAAAAAAAAACCTTTTTTTCTGGCCTGGACTTTTGCAGCTGTTTAAGACTAATTTCAGGGTGCCGATTCCAAATCTGATCTCAGATTTGCTCTATCACATCTCATTTTTATGCTATCGGCATACCCCATTTTCATTGATTTTACCCGAAATTAACTGTCACTTATGATTGCAAGTTGTTGCGAGTCAGTGACTGCTTTAGTGTTAAAATATGGTACTGTATTTTTAGGATAGTGTGTTTATAATATCATTTTATGTAGATATCCAAATTTATTTAATATTTTTCCTCTGCAGTTTTTATTGAAAATGCAATATTTGTTCTCAAAAACCTGATGTGATAGACAAAAACTGATGCCAGATTTGGAATGAGCACCCCAAAATTACCTTATAACCGTTGGAATACCTTATGCCAGAAAAAGTGTGTTGACCAGTGTAATTAGGAGATTTCGACTTAACACATATTTTTAAGAACGCATTCCCATTCACGAAATCGAGGGATACCTGCCCATGAGAGGCCACGCGGTGGAAGCATCTCAATCGAGCTGCGAATTAGAAAACTAAATAACAATCCAGACACGGCTAGGCCCCATGCCTTTGGTATTGCCAATGCACAACAACTCGTTTATTTGTAGCCATAACATTTCAACAGTGGAGCATGTTTAACAGTTAACAAGCTACAAATAAATTAGAAAAAAAATAATTTTGCTGCGATCTCAAAATCACAATAAAATCGACGGCCTGTTTTGCACACACAGTATTTGGTAACAATCGTTTTACAAAGCACAATTTTGTTCTTTAGATTTAATAAAAAAATTCCTCACTTACCAAAGTTATCAATTCGTATCGCATTGGGAACGTAGTCGACAGAATAAACTGCACCCAGTATTCTTTCCCCAAGCCAGAACAACAAAACTTTGCTGAGGTATGGGAGTGGACACATTTGCTTACATTCCACGTGGTGCGCGTGCCTACGTTAAGCTCCGTAATATTCCGATGTGTTTTAGTAATTTTGTGCCGCACGTTGTTTCGGAATGATTTCGAAACAACGTGCGGAACAGCGCGCGGTACCAGCCTGAAAACACAGCCGTACATACTGACTGCGAAAAAACCGCTGCAGTTGTACGACTTCTTCTTCCGTGCGGCTGCTGATGTAGACGCAGAGCAAACGACGACAATTTCGCATTCAGGTGGTCAAGGCCAGACAAAGACCGCATCAGGAGCAGCGGGGTAGTGTATCGACGCGATGATGTCTCCATCGTATGTGTGGACCGGGACACGGCGTCGATATAAGTTGTACGGTCTTTGTTCTAGATGACCCACAGTCGCACACCGACTGGAGAGTTTTTTTTATTTTCTGTTTGTGCATCGGGTATCCGCATGTGCCATGACTTGTGCAGTGGATACGGTTTAGAGTGGAACACTAGCAGCTTCGTGGAAGATCAAACCCAGGGGATCATCTGCGCTGGGCCTTTCACAACAAGGTGTTTTGCGAATTTCTGTACGAGTTAACCTCTGTCCAATGGAGAGCGCATTTACACACGGTCGGACAGGATCAGGAATCTCGAGGTCAAGTGCAACTTGTACATTGTAATGGCATGTTAGGTTAACGTTATCGTCAAGTGGCTCGACGATTAAATTTAGAGAATAGGAGCCATCAACAATGAACACAATTAATGTACAAATATTTTTTCCAGTTTGACATCTGCAATCATAGGGCATTTTCTAGTGTTTTGAAGTAAGTTAATTTCCAACGCTCACCACAGAAGTTACGGTGACCAAAACCAATAGTAGTTTTATATTTGTGAAAGAGAATAAGTGAAAACAAAAAGTGAAATACGGATCAAAATCATCGCCGGTCATTAGCGCGCGCGCACCATTCACACCCCGGCACGAGTTGAATCGTGGCGACACTTCTAAATTATTTACAAATATAAAAGTACAGCAATCAAGTAAGCGAGGAAAAGTGCCCCAAGGACATACAGTAGAACCCCTCTTAACGACCACCCCCCCCCCCCCCATCGATTAACAATGTTTCTTTTGATATTACATGTTCATAATGTTTCGATGTAATTTCTTGCTGTGGATTTCACACCCGATGATGATTCCTTGTGTTGCAGTCGAAAAGTCGTGAAAATTTTTATTGTTTGATATTTATATTATTTTGTTATTTCCCTTCTACGTGACTTTACCGAAAGAACCAAGAACATTTTCATAATGTTGTTAGTATCTTTCTGTATTAATATCCATTGTTTAATTATATTATTATAAAGTACGTTTATTGGGTGAAACATGGTACCTTTCAATGCTATCGGAACGAATTAAGCCTTTGGGCGTGTATTTCCTATACTCGCTTAACGACACAAATCACTTCACTACCGGTTTCGTGGAACCCATCACCGTCGTTAAGAGGGGTTTCAACTGCATCCTCTCTTCGTGGTACCCACCACCAAGAGGAGGTTGTGAACGTGGCGACGGCGTTACGACAGCCACCGCGCGTGGCCGGCATCCACCAGAATCTTGTTGATCATCTGAGACTGGGAGGCGGAAGAGAAAACGTGAAAAAGGTAACGTAGGTAAATGACGGCCGCTCGTCAAGATGAGATCAAGATTCCAGCCGACCGTGGACACGTTACCGTACACGACCCCATTACGCGTTGCCACGGAGCTTTGTTTGGTGACAGGAAATTGGAAGCAGATGTCCGGTCCATGTCTCTCCACGTTGAAAGCAAAAACTATTTTAAGTCCCATCAGCCTATCGGCTTTTCAGACCAATATTATTCGGAAGCATTTGTTAACTTCAGCAAACTCTGGATTGCTTTTGATCTTCTGGGTCTCATTTGCAGACTAAAACAAATGCTGCCCGATGACCACAATTTTTTATTTTTATTTTACCCGGTAAGGCCGACTGAGCTACGTAGCCGACTTGGCCACAAAATGGCTTATCACGTGGAAATGTATCGCAGCCAAATCCTCGAAAGGCACCTCGATTCTAAAATGTGGAGGGAAAAACTGGAGGACCCAGAGAAAAAGCCACGCGACCACGGGGAGAGACATCCAAACTCCAAATATACAGGCATCAGGTTCGGGATCGAACCCACCATTCTCCTGTATACCAGGCAAGGTAGTTCACATCTCCGAGCCACCGTGGCACCCCCAGATGTAGGTGACAAAGAGCACCCCCCCCCTCCTACGGTAAATTCTATACACGTTAGGTCTACAGCCAAAATTTGCTTAACCCGAGACAAATTACTGCATTATTTGTAAATTAGGTTCACATGAGGTTTCTTATACTATGTAATCTACAAATGCAATTGCAAAGTAGGCACATAATAACGCATCCATTATTCAGTTGAAGTCAATTCTGATGCCCACACCACCTGCATCGAAGCGTGGAAGGAAATAGATTATCTGCGATTTATACAAATTTGGTAATGTACAAAAAAAACCAGATTGTTTTTCGTGTCCTAAACAAAATCAATTTGTAAAATTTGATTAACACAGATTCTTGAAAGCGAATCATTATGTATTCGCTGCGGGGAAGTTTGTATTCAAAACTACCTTTGCGGGGGGGGGAGGGGGGGGGCTGCCTAGCGATCAGCAACCCTGGAAATGGAACGAGACGTTCTCCATCCATCTCGGGGGGTGGGAATTTTTTTCCCCTCCAGGCGAAATATTTGGCGAAACGAAACAAAAATCCTCCGCGACACTCACCCGTCCATCCTTGATCAGCCACAGGTTGACGAAGGGCATCTGTGACACCGTGTCGAACTGCGTCACCTGCGGCAACGCGCGAGCGGTCGGCACAGCAGAATCGAAATATTTATTTACACCGGAAAAATACGATGAGCGATCAAACTTTTTCACAGTTTAAGAAGAGGTTTTACCCTTTCTGGCAATACAAGTTGAATATGAATCCCTGCAGTCACGAAAGCTATAAATCAAAATAAAAAAATACAAGTTGTGTTAAGATTTTAAAACACCAAACTGAACAGTTTTCAAGGAATCATGTCACTGCATTAACCACACAAACTTGTGGTGAACATGCAAACAAAAAAACATGCTCTGGTAGTATATGCATTGTCTTTGAAACTGGTTGGTCCATACCACTTTCTTTAGAGCCTCGTCTCAAACAGTGTTAGACTAGAGGACGCCAAAAAGCGGACAGCACAGAGACAATGATACTGCATTGTCGGACATGATTGCTTGTAAAAGGTTCAGTTTGGCATTTTGAAATCAGTTAATCCATGGCTCAGCGCAATCAATTTACGAATGCGCTAAAAAAAGCCAATGAGAAAAATCTTTCGAGGTAACAAATAAAATAACGTGCACAAACCTTCATCGACGCCACCTTAACATAACACAAAAAAAACACTGCAAGCATGAAAAAAAATAAGAATAGGTTTTACCCTTTCTGGCAAGAAAACAGGTGTTTAAATGTTCAAACACCTGTTTGTTTTATTGCCAGAAAGGATAAAACCTATTCTTATATTTTCATACTGGCAAAGGAGGTCCCCCATGGTTTTAAACAACGCCTACCGCCTCCACCACCGCCGCCATTACAACATGGGGTCTTTGACAGCCTACGCAGCAAATGGGTTCATCAAGACGCAGCTGCCAATTGCTGAGAAACCATAGCAAAGTCATCACGGTCCTGGCAACTTGGAAAGCCAAGCCAACGCGCCGACGATTATCTTGAAAATGGTTGAGGAGCTCGAGACGGAGAAGTGTGTTGCGCAGCCGAGACACGAAAGAGTCTCGTAATCATAATAACAATACGGCGCATCGGTCCCCCCCCCCCCCCCCCCCCCCCGTCATGCGCTGCGTGTCACGCGACATCACCGTACCGCGCGTATACTGCGCACGCCTCTTGCTTGAGAGGAGATTTCTAGATGTATTGTGTGAACACGGAAAGTTGACTTCCAAAAAGGAATGTCGACTGGCATCGGACCACGAATGGAAACGACTGCCGCCCAAATGCTTATTTGGGGTAGGGTGACATTTTAACAATTTGCCGTTAATACATGTGATGAAATTAAAAAGGACTGGATTCCACCACAGAGTAATGTGAAATTGACACCACTGGATTGGGGGGGGCACCGACGAGTTCGGGTAGGAGCGCTGCCGTTTGAACACGGAGGCGGCGGCGGGGGACAATTTTGGGTCGCCCGTTAAAAACACGTCCGGTGAGAGTTCGTTTTCATCCATCCAAGCTTTCGCGAAACATGTGCCGATGCCATCTCCTTCACGAGTAAGGAGACAAAATCTCCCAAGGTGACTGCCCCGCCTGCCCCGACCGCCCCCCCACTGTTAAATTTTGTTAACGAAATTTGCGATCAAATGTTGGTTAAGCGGGGTTTTAATTTTTATTTTCGTCACTGATGACCACGAGTGCAGGAAAATAATTTAACCGTAACTACTGCCCGCCAGCGACCAAAGCGTGACCGAGACAACATTAGCAGTTCCGAATGAAGACGCAGACGACAATCATTAAGTGATGTTATTAGAGACAGAAATTAACCGAGGTAGACCACACCACGTTGGTCACCTCGCGTGATACGGATAGCAAGAGATTTAACCGAGGTCACCGATTGGCTGACCTGATCACATCGAGAGGGGAAATTGTGCACCATGCACGCCATCGCTTAAGAACCGAGTGGACAAAGTGTTTGACTGCTCCAGTCCACTAGCCTAGAGAAAGAATTACCAAATAGAATCCATGGACTGTGACTCGACTAAAATCCAACAGGTGCTCATCGATTAGACTCAAAATAAAACATGCCGATCGCGTTGACACACCGGTGGCGTCGTGCAGCCTATGTGACCCTTTGTGTACACGTGACCCTTTGTGTATGTGACCCCTTGACAATCGTTTTGGCACGAGACGATCGTCCGCCCGCGTGCCCTCTCGCGCCACACAGACCAGCGACCCCCCCCGCCCCCACCTCCGCGATGAGGTGAGCGCCCAGCGTCAGCTTGTTCACAGCCAACAGCGCCTCCTCTGAGTAGCACGTGTGATCTGCAGCCGTGGGAAACACAGTGCAGAGCTTGCGTGTCACAGCCTGCTCTCGAGGAAACTCGCACAGTCATTTCTTACAGTCATCCCTCGATTGTCTGAGGTTATGGTGGAGGGGAGGGGCTGGGAGGAAGCAGGGAATGGCCCGGATAAAACAACAACAACAACAAAAGTGAGCGGAGAACCCGTAATGATTGTTAACCCATGTACCAAGTGGATGAAGAACGTCTCAAAGTCAACCGCTTCGCTTGCCTTTGCGGACTACGTGCGCAATGAGTCACTGACACCTCAACCAGTGAGGATCAGACAATAATCAGAATCAGAATGTGTATTTATACTGGAGGAATCCGATGAGCTATGAAGCTCTTTTTCACAGATGTCCAGTCGGGGCACGGGGTAAGAACGTTACAACAACAGACAGTACAAAAACACGATCGGAAGCAAAGTACAAGAAAGGTAAACAAATCACCCCAACACACGCAAATATAATAATAAACCAGCCTCATTCTACCAGGTATTTTTTTTTAATGCGACCCGGCCACAAATGATAGCTCAAAGTGGCCTTATCATTTCGACATTCATAGCAGCTAAATAATCTAAATAGTCGAAACGCAGCCAGTGCTGCCCGTAAAATCGATTTTTTTTTCCACAAGCAAAGTTAATCTGCAACCCGCTTAAAATTGAAAGGTGACTAATAATGATGCAGGTAATTTATCCCAATCAGATGGTGTTTTTTTTTTTACAGGAAGCATCCTACATCGAGATGTTTTTTGGCAATTCTCTCTGTTACGAGTATAATGCTTTGACACGTGGTAACAGGCCAAATCAGGACGTGCATTGTCTAGGCATTTTGAATCATGTCACAAGACGTTACACGCATAGACGGAAATTATCAAACGTTTGAGACACCGATTAGTTATGGTTGTCAACGGATTAAAAACATATATATAATTTTCCTGCATTTCAGGAGGCAATTGAACATGGTTACCAGTGTTAAGTCTACAAGTGGTGAACTTCAATACCCGTGATGTGAAAAACTGCTGGCAGCAGACAACTTACCAGCCGGAGGAGCGATATTCGCAAAAAACACAAGTGATGCTTGAAAAGGCAACGTCAGAAAATCAGTCCTGTAAAGATAAGAACACACACACACAGTGTCCCTTTGAGCCTCTTCTAAAGGGTGCCACGGTGGAGAGACGTTAACTACCTTGCCTGGTATACAGGAGTGTGTGGGTTCAATCCCAACCCCGACACCTATATATTTTGAGTTTGCAAGTTCTCCCCGTTGTCGCGTGGATTTTTCTCCGGGCCCTCCGGGTTTATTTCCCTCCACGTTCAGAATCGATGTGCGTTGAGAGTATTTGTCCGCGTTAAATTTCCATTAGATGAGCCACTTCGTTTGTGGCCAGGTATCGCTTCTGAACAACAGCTGTACAGCTTAGAGAGCCTGACCTGGCGAAATAAAAAGTTTAGTACATTTTTACTTTTTCGTTCTCAAGCGCTGTGGGCACGCTCCCGCGTCGTTATCGTGGCGGTTTTCGGCGGCGAATTTACCAAACTTTAGAGCGCGCCTGCCCCCCCCCCCCCCCCCCCCGCACTTATCGTCGAAGGATCTCCCGTGGTGTAAACCGGGGGCAGCCGTTCGGCCCAAACCGTGTAAGCCCCGCGGACAGGCAGCGAGCGCGCTGCCACCGCTCGTCCACGCCATGCTCCGGAGGAGCGAAGCGCGCGACCCGCTCCACGGCCGCCCCCCTCCCCCACCCCCTCCCCCACCCCACCCTTCCACGAGCATGGGTCACCTGAGCTGCCGCAGGTCGGAGGCGAGTATCTTGTAGTACCCTCCGTAGTCGAGGCACCTCACCTCCACCTCGTTGCTCCCCGGGTCGTACTCCACGATCTGTGCTCGATACCAGTGGTTCTCCAAGAGCGCCGCGCACACAGTGTTGGCTGTGGAACGACAATGAAGACGACGCACGGCAGCACGGTCAAGACAACTCGCAGGAATGACAGGACGTACACGTGGTTAATTGATCTAACCAAAGGGAGTCTTCCAGCCCCAAGCAGGTGGGTTACTTTTATTCTGGTCGTAACACCAACTCATCTCTCATCGCACCCCCTCCCCCCACCCCCTTTATATATAAATTCTCATCCCATTCAGAAGATTCCCACAAATACCCCCTTAACTCGTAATCAATCCCTTATGCCAGCGGTCCTTAACCTGGGCCGCACGCACCCCCTGGGGGTGCGAGATGCCCTTTCGGGGAACCAAAGGGGTGCAAGGCTGCAGTAAAGGTTACGAAGTTTTTCAAAGGGCCTTCAAAAATTCCCTCCAATTCACTTTCAAATTGCCCCCGAGGGTGGGGTGGGGGAGGGTTTCACCCATCAAATTCCTCAGCCAATCAGGACGAACTGCCAAAATCGGTCCACCAATGTTGCGCGAGAGCGTGACCCTAGCACCGGCTCGTCAGGGCCGCCCTGCCGACAGTCGGCGAATGACGACGAATCTCGCCAAATTCGAACGACACAGCGCGGACCCAGCGCGGACCCGTGAGGACCGGCGCCGCGTGTAAACGGCCGACGAATTAATAATCAAGGCGGGGCCTTTTTGGCGAGCTCTAAAATATACACGCGGACAGCTTCTTCGAATCCAGTCCTTGTGAACCCCCCCCCACACCCCCCCACCCGTTGCGGTTTTCGGAGAGTACCAGCTATCATGTGCGTGCAGTGTGAAGTGCCTGAATTCACACGTGAGTAGAAGTCACAAGGCGGACAGTGGTGGGGGGGGGGGCGGTGGGTGTTGAGGACCGGAGTTGAGAAACGGCAATATCGGCGATGGTGAACGAGCAGCAAATGACGTAAATTCGACCAATGTTCTGGAAGGGCTAGAAAGCTGAAATTTGGGACGCGTGTAGTCAAGTCCTCGTACGACCAGGAAAAGGCTGAAAACCAGAGATCTTCAGCATTAACTTCTTAAATAACTTAAAAAAAACAATCCCCGTCACCAGTGAAAGCAATGAGCTCACGCCTCTCTCGGAGTGCGATTCTCCAGCGGAAACGTGGGTCAAGCAGAGACAATGAACTTCCTATAGCCGTGCAGGCTCTTGGGGAAGGTGCTGTTAATAATGAGTGACGATATCGACTGCTCTCGCACACACACAGATCTCCTGTATATAGCCAAGCAGCAGACAGAAAGATCCCCCGTGTAGCAGACTGTTTGGGCAAGTGCTGTTAGCGAGCACCTATGAAGGCTGGCACGGCACACGAGGAGGGGGGGTGGCCACGCCCGGCTGCCTTTGTCTACCCCAGTAGCGATGTTTACACACAGCACCAGCTACTCATTTGAGGCCGAGTTGACCCAGGGAAGGCCCAGGACCGGTTCAGATAACCATCATTGGTGTTGGCTGTGAGCAGGAATCGACCCCGGGTCGCCAGGTTCGTCGTGCAACGTGCTAACCGCTGCACTACAGGTCAGCAAACAAAGCAAAGACAAAGAGACCCTGTATAGCCTATAAGACTGTTGGCACGTGCTGTTAGCGAGCACCTTTGAAGGTCAGACAGACATATAGACACACAGCAGACAGACATAGACACGCACACACGGAGAGAACACTACAGATAAGATAAGCGTCGTCACTTAAAACTGAAATCTTATTTTTGTAAAAAGAAAATAGTCAATCATGTGATCGTTAGTTTAACACAGGCTTTCGCAAAATCTCATCCATAATACAGGTTTTTTTGGGTGAAATCGCGTAAATATGTGTCGTTAAACCCACCACCACTCGACACAGCCAACTAGTAAGGTTTGTCACGTAAACAGAATGTGCCAATTCGTTACGAGTACAGCACATCGGTGTGTTGGAGAGCAACGCCACAACATTTACAATCCGAGTACGACGTTTCGCCAGTAATTACAACTAGCTTCATCAGGCGGCAGCCAGATTTGTGGAGAAATCCTCCTGTTTCGTTCCTTAGATAGAGGGGTTGATGTGATGGCATCACTTGTGAGCCCTTCTTGCGAAGTGTGGGGGGGTTGGGGATTAATGAAGGCATATAAATGACAATGGTATCCATTGCCGGTTGTAGCTATCCAAACAATTAAAATTATTTTCTCTCAATTTCGCTAGATTCTCTAATTAGTCTTGGCCAGTAGTAGCTAGTTTTGCACAGAACCTCAACAGCATCAAAATCAATTGAGTGTCCTTGTTGGCACGCGTGTTCTGCCACTGCCGACAGCTGTGATCGTTTATGCGATTCATCACAGCAGAGCCGGGAAAATGAAAAGTAAATGACCAAATTCACATTTAAAAATCAATAGTGTTTTGTTGTCTAGGTTGTGGTGGGTGAGCGGGGCAACACAAACACCAAATTGCTCTAACCCAGTGTAATCATGAACGGCCATCCGTCTTCGAACCAAGGTCGACAATATTAGTCGACGTTTAAAGATTAACTGGCCACAATTTCATAATAGAGGTTTTTTTGGGTTAGATCGCGTAAGTATGAATGTGTCGTAACCCTCCACCACCGGACACAGCCAGTAAGGTTTGTCACGTGAACAACGCGCCAATTGGGTTACTACTCCAATAAAACCTTGGATTGCGAGTAACTTGGTCTGCGAGTGTTTTGCAAGACGAGCAAAAATGTTAAATAAATATTAATTTGATCAACGAGCGAGGTCTTGCAATACGAGTAGTACGTGTATACGCTTTGTCTGCCGAGTGTCACGTGATCACAACTGATGTACGAGTGCTTTGGATTACAAACACGTTTCCGGAACGAATTATGCTCGCAATCCAAGGTTTTACTGAACTTCAGTCCACAACATTTATTGTAAATTTTATTGTAAATCTTGTGGATTTTTACTCTCCATCACACCGGTCGGAGACTAACTAAATTGGCGCGTTTTTTACGTGACAATCCTTACTGGCCATGTCAGATCGAGGGTTTACAACAACATTTATCATTTGTCCAGTCTCGTTTGCTACGACCAATATCGTTCTGGGAAAATTCGTATCCGATCTGCGATGTGCATTTTTGGATCATACCACATGTTGTTTTGTGGCAAGTCGGGGGGAGTTTGGCCACATATCTTGAGAGCTTTATAGAACCAACAAAGTTAAGAAAATATACACAAATCGAAAATAACCAACTAACACACGCATTATCAGACTGGTGAAACGGTGGGTATATGTATTTATTTTGAATCTATTAATCGCCAAATGCCTCGATAAATTTCTCGCACCCCTCTGCCGTCTTGAACTGGTTTTTACTATTTGCAATTTACAATGCCATGGTGCATGTTAACATAACTCAAGGAAAGGTGGCAGTAACCAATGTGTCAATTATGCCAGTGGGTGTGCTATAGTCCAATCTATCAATCTTAAGTTACGTATTAAAGCACACTTGACATGAATAAAAGATGGTCTCGGAGAACTTAACATTAAATAGAATTGGCATGAATGGGCCAACACCCGGAGTGTATTAAATGCAAAAGACAATGAGTTTACAAGACAACTACAGATATGGCTCGTTTGTGAACAAAAAGAAAAGACGCAGAAGGGTAAAAACTCTTTGGGATTTAATTTTATTGATTTAATTTGAGTCACCGTCAAACGCGTTGCAGTTTATTTTTGTGTGCATTATCAAATATTAAATAACGCGCAAGACTATATCTTTGCTCGGTGAATACAAACTGCGAATTGGGATTTTGAGAATAATTAAACAATTTATGGATTCTGTTAAAGCACGCAAAAGATGTCAGTTTACTTTCTAATAATGAACATTCAAATAAATAACAAGTACAACCGTCCCACCAACAATAAAGGTTTTAAAATTATATCCCAAAAGTATAAATGCGTCGTAACCCGCCACAGCCAACCGGTAAGGTTTGTCGCGTAAAAAAACCGCGCCAATTAGTTACTCCTTCAGCCCACCGGTGTGTTGGAGAGTAAATCCTCATCGTTTACAATTTGAGTTCCATGACGTTTCGCTGGTAATTACATCCAGCATCATCGGCGATTTGCCAGAATTGTGTAAAGATCCACCTACTTCCAGCCTTAAATAGAGCAAGATGACGCCACCACTATAACCCAAACAGTGAACGGCACTGGTTGCGAAAGCAATCATAGCGGTCAACCCCTTATCAGCTTCGATCTTATTACAGACCGATTCAGACCTTATTGGTCACCCCTTATACATCTCAACGTTCGTCCTACAAAGTCCCATCACAAGGGAGAAACACAAAGACAAAAAATATTGTTTTACTAAATTTCCCTGTACTAGAATACAGGTACACCGTATGGCTTGACAGGTATGCGCACCGTTGACATATTTAAGGTCACATTACTGTAAATTCACAATTATTTCGATTTAAAGCTTTCGTGACTGCAGGGATTCATCTTCTTGGTTCTTTCAGGAAAGTCACGTAGAAGGGAAATAATAGACAGAGTCTCCTCGACAGACCTGTTCTTCACCTGAGGACGGCTGCTTGCGTTGTGGCCGAAACGTCGTGAGAATTATTTAATTATGTTTTATTTTTATTATTTTATTATTTCCATTCTACGTGACTTTACCGAAAGAACCAAGAAGATTCACAATTATTGTTTTCACTATTGCAAATGTCGACGGCGCTACCGTACTTCTAGCTTGATAAACTTTTAAAAAAATAAATCTTTGATATTTAGGCGCCATATATCACCCTCAGTCAAGTAGTGCCATCCGTTCACATCGCGCATTTCTTTGTAGAAAATACCAAAAAGCAATTGGGGGGCTTTTCCCTTCAATCGACTTGCTTGCTGGCTCTGTTTACTAGTTATAATAATAATCCCATATACATAGCGCTTTTCAGCATGGATCTCAAAGTGCTGTACAGGACACAGCAGCAGCAGCAGACACTCAGTATAAAAATAATTACGTTATATTTATCATGTTATATTTATCCGCGCGAGGGCGTCCACTGGTGACGCGCCATCCTCAAGGGGGGGGGGGGCACGCACCACTCCTGGAGGTACAGCGACAATACCGGAGTTGATGTACAGAGTGGACGGCGCTTAGCTCTCCCCCCCCCCACCACCAACACCATTCCATTTCCCCCGTCACCAAAAAAATCTATGTCATACAAGATACCAACGACGTGGTATGCATCAAGACATTACACTGATAAGGACAGATTCTACGCTCGATCTTAACCAAAAGAGAAAGCAAACTTAATTTTTTTTGCTAGGTTATTTAATTCAATGTGTCTCTCTCCCTGTCTCCTAATTTCCTCAAGCTTTTGCACCGTGCCACTCACCGTGCCACTCATTGACATGCTAATTTCTCTAACTCCTCCCTCTCTCTCCGCCCCCGCCCCCTCTCTCTATTTAAGGCCTCGACACAGAGGCGTGGTTTCTCTGTGTGCCTATGTTTGTCTCTCTCTATGTATCTCTGTGATATCTGTCTGCTTATATGTCTGTCTATATGCGTCTGGTTCTGTGTTTTATCTCTCTCTCAAATTAGCATTCTCAGGAAGAACGTAATCAACCAGGTAGGGTGTTGACTTAGGGTGTGTTATCAGACACTCTGTTGTATTACATTACATTTATAAGTATACTAGATTTGTGTTTCTATTTCATTTATACCTGATGATGATTGCTTGTGTTGCAATCGAAACGTCGTATGCTAGTATTTAATTGATTATTTTCTCTTTATATGTGACTTTACCGAAAGAACCAAAGAGTAAGAGAAAGAGAGTCGTGATTTTATTTTATTTTTCTCCAAAGGATGTAAAAGAATATTTCAACTTAAAAGCATGCAAACCGGCCCCTAGCTGCACCCCCCCCCCTCTCCTTGACTGCGTTCCCATGGCTGTCTCGCACGAGCTTTTGGGATCCAGCCATGAAAATAAAAACAAGACTTTAAAGCCCACAGAGTGCTCCTAACGACGTCACCGAAATGACATCGTCCACGAGCAACGTCACGGTGATATCGCTGGCACGCTTTTGCGATAAAAAAAAGGCTTTTATTCGTTTGAGTTCAGCAACTCCTTTCATTTCCGATTCTTCACCACTGTGGAAGGAGGACGCGGCAAGTGACCTCTGTGTGATGCACAGAGAGCGGGTGAACTCCTCTAAATTGGCTTCGTTCCTCACACAAAATAAACCGTCGCACAGTTTCTACAAATGCACATTTTTTTTATTTCATCCTTTTCTCAGTTTCAAATGTGAAGCACGCTACACAACCACTTAGTGTACAAATTCACACACACAAACACAAAATCGCACGGGCAGGGCTCACAAGAACACAACTTAGATGGGGTGGCAATAACCCCGGATGAACACATTAATTTCCAAACATTATTTAACTCCGCAAATGAGCAGCCAATACTAATGGAACATTGGCACATTACCGAACTCACTACATTCTGGATATTAACATTCAAGCTCCGAGTGTTGGTACAAGTGGAGGCAACGAGTTCTACCCCCCCCCCCCCCCCCCCCCCCGATGTTGTCAGCGAACAGGGGACGGAGCTAGCACGGAGTACTGGCAAGAGTCGCGCTAGGGTTCGCTTCCGCTCACGGGAAGTGCCCCTGCACTGCCGAGCACAGGGACACGCTTAGCCGTGGCGGCTCAGACGGGGAGGGGGGGGGGGGGGGCCGTGTTCATCCCGACGCCGCACACGCCGGCGGTGGCAGAACCCAACGTTGCGTTGAGGAATGGGAGTAACGGCTCGTCACAAAAACGAGGGCCCAACGCGACTTCGGCTCATCGATTCGTCAACAGTCGGATTAACGTCGCCCCCTCGGTGGACTCTGTCTGGTGGGACGGGGATGGTTTAGCTGTATTTGTATGCGTTTGGGCGAATTGTTTACCTTTCTGTTACTTTGCGCTGCTACCGTGTATTTGTACCGTTTGTTGTTGTAACGTTATTACCCCGTTGCCCCTAATGGACATCTGTGTAAAAAAAGAGCTTCATAGCTCATCGGATTCCTCCAGATAAATAAATATTCTGATTCTGAATATGCCAACTCATTCGGCTCCAAGTGCATGCGACTCAAAGAGGCGGGAAGCCAGGTAGAAGAAGCAGTCCCTGGCAGCAGGGCCAGCTGTGCTGACATCTAAAGTAGTGGCCTTGAATTTGAAGTTTACCTTTCCCTCCCACTCCCCCCACCACCACCAGTATATAATTGCAAGCATGCGTTGCTTATATCAGAACTGTGCTTAAACTAGACGGGTTTATATCCAGCTACAACTGTTCAGTAATTAATAACCAAAGCTTCATTCCAAAAAGCACGTTTTACTGACGATTTACGCAACTTAAACTGTTAAAAGTACTCGGCGTATGATCAAGGCAGATTCTCGCAGACGCATTAAACTCACTGGACAGCACTCTTTTTGAAACTATATTTTAGTGTTTACAGCAAGCAAGTAACCATTTCTGTAGATATTCTCCCCCACATTTTTTTCATTCATTCCAGCCACTAACCCTTGTTACAAGTGACGCTTGATTAGCGCTTTCATTTCGGCGTGCTCATAATATCATATATAATGACAAAAAACTTTATTTTTTTTAAGTACTGAATTACCACATAGGTTCTTCGTGCTGTGCGCTTGGGGTTTTTGTGGATGTAAGCGCACGATGTTTGGAATTTTTTTTTGTCGCAGAAGCTCCCAGCAGGGGAGCGACACGATTTTATATCCCAAATAACAAAGTGCGGAACAGACGTCGCAAAAGCACAGAAAACGTAGACTATCAAGGTGCGGGGGGGGGGGGCACGCATTAATTTAAGTTAATCCATGGCTCAACGCAAGCAATTTACGAATGCGCCTGCGCAAAAAAAGAGCCAATGAGAAAAATCTTTTGAGGCTACAAAAAAACAAAAACGTAACGACGCACAAACCTTCGTAGACACCACCTTAACATAAATTAACGCTAAAAAACCACAGCAAGCATGAAAAAAATGATAGGTTTTACCCTGTTCTGGCAATAAAACTGGTGTTAAGATTTTGATTTAAAGCTTTCATGACTGCAGGGATTCATATTCTTGGTTATTTTGGTAAAGTCACGTAGAAGGGAAATAATCAAATAATACACATATAAAACAATTAAAATTCTCACGACGTTATATTTGTATTATTTTATTATTTCCCTTCTACGTGACTTTACCGAAAGAACCAAGAATATGGTGTTAAGATGTTCAAACATCTGTTTGTCTTACTGCCAGAAAGGTTAAAACCTCGTCTTATTTTGTCATGCTTTGATACTGGTGGAGCGATGTCGATGGGCTGTGTACACTTACCTGCAGGGGCAGTCAGGGTCCAGCAGGGGCAGTTGTTATATACCCCTAGCCCAGAATCAGGAGGCTACAGGGTATCCTGGGATCCCCCGGAGCCCCCTCTAGAACTCTCTAGAAAGTGGGCGGAGCCAGGGCTGACGCACCGGTGCTGGCTATAAAAGCCGGACCCCGTGAAGGGTCCGGGGCCAGTCCAAGAGAGAAGCCAGAAGACCGGCTAGCCAGTACCCTGGGACCCCTAGCCATGCTGCCCTTGTAAGGGCCGGGACTTTGCGTGGCTCAGTGATGAGACCCTGGGAACCCCCGGGCCCGACGTCCTTGTGAGGGCCGGGTCCGAGTGGGCCAGTGGTCGGAACCCGCACCCTGGCTAGGTAGGGTTAGAGTCGCCTCCCCGAGGCACCCGTAGCCGGAGGACCCAGAGCCGTAGTCCCGTGTTAGAGCACGTTAGCCCGGAGCCAGTACCTCCCCAGGCAGTGGTTATAATGGCCGTTGCCCTGAGTGAGTCATGGCTGTACTGCCAAGTATGTGTATTGAATAAAGTGTCGCCTCCAAGGTCCGTCTCCGACTTCCATAAAACGCACTACACACTGGCATAAAGTTCCCGTGTTTTTTTTTACACAGCAGGCAAATCGTCAACTCTTGGGTGGTCCCAACTCAAGCAGCCGCGTGTTCCTAATGAAAGCAAAGAGCACGCACCGGTGAGAGGAGGCAGCGTCAGCAGGTTGGGCTGCGAGTAGCAGGCGTTGAGGGCCTGGTCCAGCGAGTCGAGCGCGTGGAACGTGGGGTGCGTGTACTGCTGCAGGAACAGGTTCCCGTACGCGTCGAACCACGGCACCGTCACGTCCACCGAAATGCCCTGAGGGATGGGCACCTGGGGAGGATGGAAAAAAGGGCACGCGAGAGAGAAAGGGGGCCTCGTGTCATTCCATCTCCCTCTCCGCTGTGAGCGTTGTTTTTTTTGGGAGGATAATAGACAAAGTGGGTATTAACTAATATAAATATTTTTTTAATACCAGGTAAGGCCCACTGAGCTACGTAGTTCTTTTGCAGACGATACCTGGCCACAAATGAAAGCTCAACCAAGTGGCTTATGAAGTGGAAATTTATAGCAGCCAAAATAGTGGAAACGCATGTTTCTGAATGCGTACTCGCAAACTCCACATATTACAGCAGCCGTCAGGGTCGGGATCGAACCCCATGACCTCCTGTATACCAGGCGAGGTAGTTAACGTCTCTCCACCGCGAAGGCGGACAAAGAGGGAGTTTCACTGCAACCGAATGAAAGTGCAGCGGAGTGTCTGAGTCAGTACGGAGGCCGTGGTGTGTGGGGCATCTTTACCGGTGCCACGGGCACGACAACATGGCCGATCGGCGGCAGCACGGGGGCCGCGATGTTTTTCATGTTCAAGTTCTTAAACTTCTTGCGGATGAGCTTCAGCGCGGCGTCCACTTGCTTGTCCGTCCCTGCCAAACGAAAGTGGGGGGGTTTGCAACGTCTGACACGGCCCAGCAGCGGCACGTTCGCCCCTCGTTGCAGGACGGCCACACGAACGTCCGTGGGTAGCCAACCGTTGAGCACGGTTGGCTATGTACAGCGCGAAACCAGTTTCAACGGGAGGTACACGCAAGCAACTGGCTGCCCCGATGAACCATAACATATACGCCCGCCGGTCCGCTTCGCAGCGGACATCAACAATCACAGGGACGTCACGCGAAATGGGCAGGCCATTGTGCGCCAGAGTCGTGGTCCAAATTTGGGAAATTTCGATAAAAAGACGGATCCGCAACTTACTCTGTCGGGATTACACGCAGCAACGTCGTAGACACGAACCGGTGCTGGGTCACATGGCGCCCACAGGAAAACAGCCGGGGGGGGGGGACTTTAAAGTGTTTGAGAGGGGAGTTTGACGCGAGGTTCTTATCACGTGCAAAGCGCTCTGCGATGCCCTGCCCGTACAACAATGGTGACCTTTCACGAACAAAATCACGATTCTTATGAAGTGCAAAACGCAAACCATCGGCGGAGTAAACGATGCGTCGACTCGCAAATTCGATTCGTGCGCGAGAATCGATTACTTTTAAACTCTTACACGTTGTACATAATTACGTTCAAGTGATCCCCGCAGCCACTATAACAAGCAGGGAAATGTACAACAATGTAAAACATACATTCCTGTATCGAGACTCTGCATTACAGGCCTGTAACAAACGTGTACGTACACGACAGCTCACAGGTGCTTATTTATCCATCCGACTACTGTAGCGGAATGCCATACTGGCTGCCAACTGATCAACATATGATTGGGCAGGCCGAGATGGAGATACACCCCGCGGCTACTCGGGCCATCCCAAACCTATTAATAAAATCAAAGTTGCGCTAGGTGGCCAAGTGGCTCAGGGTCCTAATGCGGTGTCACGTCGCTCAAACACCGGTCAAATCCTGGGCTCAAATCAGGGCCACTACCCGTTATTAATTCGGGTTTTTCGAGTGTGCGAGCCAGTCGTCCCGGCACAGTCACCCCAAAGACGACACGTACAAGACCCATCACGATTCAGTTTCGTTTTGTCGCATCATTACGCTTCATTCCAACTGTGTGAAGGAAAAATTGTCATTTGATCGCATGTACGCCGAAATTATTGTGTGCTGTGCGTTAGCCAACAGTCCTAAATCGGCAAGTGTGGCGGAAGAACAACAAACTAAAACACAAAACAAGCGGCCACCGCAGTGTTCAATCTAGACGATGATTTTTTAAAGTGCACGGCTTCAGTGGCTTCCTAATATATCGGAAGGAAGAGCGTTCCAGACGGCCGGAGTAGCTCGCGGTGAAAGCGCGCGCGATGCGGCGACCAATCTTCGTCTGGCGTGCAACGAACACCATCTGCAAAGCGAACAGAACTCGCGCCCCCCGAGTGTGGCTAACGGAGGGGCCATGCTCAAGGTGACTTTCTAAGTTACTTGCGGGGGAGGTGACGAGGCCGAGGAGGTGAGCGCGCGAGCTGCTCGTTGCAGAGGCTTCTGCCGTTCAATCCCCGTGGCCGGCCTGGTTAATGAACACCGCGGGGTGCATCAACCGTAAAAATATGCGCACCGTCGGATGCTCAGTGGACATTAAGATGCCCCAGGGTAGTATCCAAAAGAAGTGTAAGACCGTGTTGTGTACCGGGGCCAAAATGTTTTTGCCAAATTACTTGCGAATGGTGGCGGCCTGACATGGTGCTTGCCACACATCCCCCTTTATACCCACGCGTGTGCCATTCAAGCACCAAATAGAAACCTCTTGCAAGGAATCAAGTCTGCATCAACCGCACGTACTTGTGGTGAACTTGCAAACAAATCATGCTCTGATAATAGATGGGCATTGTCTTTGAAACGGATTGGCCTACACCAGAGTCAGCCTTTGTCTCTGGCGTTTGAACATCTTAACACCTGTTTTATTGCCAGAGAAGGTACTATTATAGTTCATGCTTTACCTTAGTTGGAAGGCATGAGTAGGTTATAATTGCATCTTCATGGTACGAGCACCATTACAAGTTCATTGCAGCGACACTTCCGATGATTAAAAAAAAAAATCAGAGTAAAGCTTCAAACTTGTATCAGAACAGCCAGGACACACAGCCTGTGTACGTACAGATCTACAACACAAGGGACATTTGTATTGTGGATTGCATCTCCCTTAAAAAAAAAGGGATAGATGGCTGCGACCGGGTGGAAATAGGATCCGATAAAAAAAAAATCAGATCCAGTCCGTTCCGTTACCGTGTACCATGGAAGTCCCAACAATTCAGCGCGTCCAGACGGACAGAACAATCGACACCTACCTTCTATATGGACGACCTGAAAATCAGCCGTGAAGGACAGTTGTATGATGTAGATCTTCGCTCCGGAGCCCTCCTTCAGATAGTTGATGAACTTTCCCTGCTTGCCGATGAGGCGGCCAACCAAAATCTGCAAGGAGGCAACGCAGGAGTTGTGAGTGAAGGGGCAGCCCCGCAATTACTAGCTCATGCCACACGGCTCGTAGAGAGGGACCTCGACTAGAACATGGGGCAACAGTGGTTAGCACGCTGCACTACGGAACCTGGGAACACGAGTTCGATTCCCGGTAACTGCCAATAGCAGTGGAGAAGTGGCAACCAAAAAAATATATATCGGTCCTGGCACAGATTTCAGTAGAACTCACGCTGACCAGCGTGGTGAAGTACGGTCAAACAACCCCCCCGTGACCGACACAGCGTGGATCAACAAGAAGGGCTCTAACCTAAACTCATTTACTTTCATTAAAGTAAAAAAAACTCGGTTCTCAATTGTCAAGTTAAATGTGTTGCTCGCTCACTCAGCCTGTTACCAATGACCGCACACAACAAAATCTATCGCATTAACTTTGGTTCTCGATTGGGTTTAGGGCAGCACAACGAGGCACACAAAGGAAGTTGTCACCCACAGAATAAAAAAACCACATGGCTCAAGCTGGAAAGCTTAACACCGTCAAAGCACCAAATTCCACTTTGAGCACGCAAACATAAATCATCACACGCCGGTAAGGAATGGTACAACGCAAGCAACACGTGCCAACGTCTCCTCTGTACAATTTCCGACCGGCCCATGTGCAGAGTGAATCCACGGAAAGCTCTGCTAAAATCATTTAGGAGCAAGCATATATATGTACAGTACAACCTTGGATTGCGAGTAACTTGGTCTGCGAGTGTTTTGCAAGACGAGCAAAATTTTTAAATAAATATAATTTGATAAACGAGCGAGGTCTTGCAATACGAGTAGTACGTGTATACGCTTTGTCTGCCGAGCAGTGACGTGATCACAACTGATATACGAGTGCTTTGGATTACAAACACGTTTCCACAACGAATTATGCTCGCAATCAAAGGTTTTACTGTAGTGACAGGGGAGTCAGCCTACAGTGCGAATGGGCTAGTGGCCACGGGAGGTAATGAAAGGGGTGCCCAGCTTGCAGTACGAAGGGACTGGTGGCGACGGGAATGATCGAGAACAGGAGCGTGGGGCCAGATGACGGAAGAAGACGGTGGAGTCCGCCAGTGGAGTCTGCCGGTGGAGCGAGCGTCTAGAGCCAGCGAGAAAGTACGGGAAGGGGGGGAATTGCCTGGGAGATGCGCGGGAGACTTGGGGCTGCTGTAGTTGGGACTCCGCCTATCCGAGTGAACGTGTCTCATCCCCCCCCCCCCACCGTCACCGCGTCGGTCACGAGGGCTGTTGGCGCACAACTTCATCCGACTTGGCGAGTGCAGATTTGTTAAAAAGGGGAATCGGGAGTGAAAGGCTGTGCTCGCGAGTGCGTGCGGCAGTCTGACGCCAGCTATCGTAGAGTGCGTCATGCGTGTCGCTTCGGTTGTCAGCAGCGAGTTCAATGTTTTTAAAAAAACAGCGTGGCGCTACTGGGCCCGCCTAAAAATAATAATAAACGGCGAGGCGAGCCACCCACACGTTCCGAAATTCGGCGGCGAAAATGGGACACCGACCCCCACCACCCCCGGGACTTGCAGACGTCTCAGAACAGGGCAACGGTTAAGACATCACGGAACGGGAGAGGGTTAAGACGTCACTCGCCGACGACGTTCGCCGTGGCCTGGAATCGAACTCCGGGAGCGGGCGGGGGTTCAGAAAGCAGTACAACACGCCATCCACACTTCCCCGGAAGGATAACACGACTACAAAATTAAGTTGCATTCAACAATACTGTCATCACAAATAAGCTTAATTGATGACGACAAGCACTGGGGAGACAAAGGCGACCGGGCGTGGTCCTGGCCCACAACACCCTCGCGCGAGCCTTCAAAGGTGCCCGCTCACCTTTGACACGTGGAACTCCCAGATCACCATTTCACTGTCGTCACCGGAACCAGTGGCACACGGGCAGCTGCCATCGCTCACAGCTTCTCCGTAAAAATCTGCATGTCGCACGGGAAGAGGTGCAACGTGGAAGACAAAAAGGGACATGATCACGTGTCGAACGTACAGTCGCGTTCTCCTATAAAACGCAATAGTTGTGTTATGGCAAAATCGCGTTATAATAAATCATATATCACGTAGGGTAAAGCGCAATCCGCGATAACGCGCTGGATGCGTACGCGGGCTGAACAGAGGCTGAGGCACGCGTGGGTGGCATCTAGAAGCATCCAACAGCATCCCGCCTCGTGCGATGCTATGCCGAGGCCGCCGTGCGACCGCTTAATCCGACTGGCGCGACGTTAGTCCCGTTCACTCGACCGCGTCGTATCCAATTCGCATCCGCTTTATAAAAAGTGTTCCCCAAAACATTCATCGCGTCAAATTCAATTCGCGTCATGAAGACAACACGCGGCGTTATAGAGGGAACAAACTGCACGTCGGGAGGACGGCTGCCTTTGATTTATATCGATCCCAAGTGAGGTTGATAAAAGTGCTACTCGTACGGAGAGAGATTGGGCCCCCAGCCCTACCAGAGAAATGCGGAATTTCCTCCACAGCCTCAGGGTCGTCAATGAAAAGAGAAAAAGCGAATTGCCAACTACCAACTCCAATGATAGGAAACGTTGCGAGGCTGCGGTAGCTTCAGGAAGTTCGTCCATCTAGCATCATGGGTGCCGACGATGATTAAGCGTTAAGATTAACGGCCGTTCTTAAAAACAGCACTGCATCAACATTCCCATGTTCATTACATTTTCCTTGCTGAGAATTCATCAATAACAAACGAAAAAGTGTGCAGAGAAATTTTGCCGTCGTTAGCCGACGTCCGCGGGCCGTCTAAACGGTACAGAACCCGCGGTTCATTATTCACAACGATCGTGCATTCAACCAGGCGAGTGAACATCAACCATCACAAAGAGCTAAAAAAAAATTGACTTCTCACCGAGTGAAGAGTCACCATCGAGCGTCAATGTTGACTCGCTGTTCTCCGAACTCGTGCTCAATCCATTGGTCATGTTCTCCTCTGCGTCGACCGCGGTTTCTTTAGGGTCACCCCTCGTACAGACGTCCACCGGTAAAGCTGGCGGCGCGTGACCACCGCCGGTGGGGTTTTTATCGAGAAATTCCACCGCTACCTTCGCCGCTTTCCTTTTCGGAGACTTCTCGGCGGTTCTGTCCTTCATGAGCCACTTGCCTTCGGGACAAGACAACGGGAAAAACTTTGAACCCGACTTTCCTTTGTTCGGCGAGTGTTCTAGTTCCTTCATATTCACCCCAAAATTAAGACCTTTCCACAAGTCGTCGACGGACCAGGCATTCTTGGACGTCGCCTCTCCCTCCGATGATTCCTCTCCAACAGGACGTTTATCCGCAGGGAGATTCTCCACCAGGGTTGGCGTGAACGGGGCGGCTTCCGCCGAAAGATTGCTCTTCACAAGCGACGGCGACTCCGCCGCCTTCTCGTCGTCGCTCCCCTTCGCGTCGCTCGGCGAAGCGCCGGTGGCCGGCTCGCGGTCACGAGCACGCCGCCCCTCGTTTGCGGTGTGGACCGGGGGAGACTCTACCTCTCCGCGGAGCGCATCTTCGTTTGTCGTGGCTTCCGCCGACGTGGGCGTGAAGGGGGCCGCCTCCGCCGATAACCTGCTGCTCAGGACCGGCCGATTCTCCGACTCGTCGTCCCCTTCCAAGCGCACGTTCGCGAAAGACACCCTCACATCCCGAATGAGTTTTTCCACAAAACCCGAAGCGAACCGCTCCTCGAGCGCCTTGCAGTCCGCGGCGTCGCCGCCGTTGTGCCGCACCTCCTCGGCGCGGGTGGCTTTGTCCGGAGGCGAACTCTCCGCTTCTTCGTGGCACGAGACTGGAACCTTCGCCTTCCTCTCGACGCTGCCGGAGATTTCCAAATCACATTTGACGCCTCCAGCCACCGCCACCGAATTCGTCCCTGGAGTCGGCTGCGAATCATTCGAGCGACTCGCCGTTTCAAGCGGAGGAGAACAGCGGACCGCTTTCGTATCCTTCAAATCAAGAGGCTCAGCTTCCTGAATAAAACGCTCGTCATTTTTACCATCCTTTCCAGATCCACCGAGGTAATTCTCTCTCGAGATTTTCCCTCCCATTTCCATCTTCAGACACAAGGGGTCCACTTTGTCGCTGCCTTCGGGATCGTAGCGCTCGCCGCAATCGTTGGCCCGTCCCTCGTCGCCGACTTCGCAACTTCCGACGCGCTCCAGAGCCTCGCCCTTGGGCGCCTTTCCATCGTCGCAGCCGCCCGTCGCCACGCGGCCCGCTTTGCCCAACGCTGCCCCACCGCCAACCCCTTCGTCTGAGAGCACGCCGTCAGAAACATTACGCTCGCGCAACATTTTTCCGGCGGACGTCTTCGACCCGTTGGTGGATGCCGCGCCCTCCGTAGCGGCGCCCTTCGCTTCACACTCCTCGCCGTTCTGGCAACGCAACTCCGACCGTTCGAGCGTTCGTGCCGATTCGCCCACGTCGCGGCTGACCAACGTGGTGCGAGGCGCTTTAACAATTGACGACGGGACATCAGGACTGCAGATGGTCGCCACAGCGCTGGGTCTGCCAGCATTGGCGGCGACGGTGCCGTCCGCGGCGCCGACTCGCGGTGAACCGTGCGTCCGCGCAGGCTCCGAGGTTCTTGGTGCGTCTGCGATTACGTCGCGTTTGGCACCGCTCGCATTTGTCGACGTCGACGCATCTCCTGCATCTCCAGGCGATTGGTTGTTGACGGCCGCTGCTTTAGGAACACTTTCAATTGCATCCGGACCATTGCTTAAATCGGAACTCGACAAATCCTTACGCTCGTTGGTTAACAACGCACCCAAATTGTTGACTCGACCAGGGGCATCGCCGATGTCCATTTTGGACCTGTCCGCGGACGCACCGGCCGACAGGGGGCTGATGGAGTCGGCAGCGGATGAAACGTCCGACGTGTCTGCCGTGGCGAAGGTCTCGTGCTCGCTCGTCGAATGCGGGGCTGCAAGTGGCTCGGCCAAGAGGTTTCCGTTCGACGACGCGGCGAGCAAACTCGGCGTGTCGTGCGCATCGCTCGAAGGCCGCGCATCGCACAAATTATCTTCGGGACGTTCGACGAGCGTTTCACGTTCAGGGAGACTCTCGCGTGCACACGCCGACAATTCGGGAGCCGCACGTGCCGCGACCGGGACCTCCGCCGTTTCACCGGGAGACGCCGTCGCTTCTCGCGCTCCACACGCGAGCCCGTCGCGTTTGTCCGGAAAAACGGCGGCGCCGAATGTAGCGTCCGACAAGACTCCATCCGCGTCGCCAACGGACGGGCCGACGCACGCCTCGGCCGACGGGCAGCCGGCCGATCCGGGAGGGCACGTGTCAGGATATTCACGAGGCTCGAGCGGGTCGACAGTCCGGTGCGGCGCAGACGTTGAGCTCGTCGTCGGGGTTTGCGCACGCACGGGAGGAATCCGCGTTGGCCGCGACGCCGTCACACGAGCCGAGTCCTCTTGGTGGAGTTTCCCGTGCTCGTGGCCTTGCACGCCGCCTTCCTCCTCCAGGAGTACCAGGCCCACGCCGCCACTGCCGCCACCCCCGGCAGGGCGTACGGGTAATACCTGTGCAGCGCCCTCCACAACATGGCCGCCGCTTTGTTCCAGCAAAATAATCTGAACGCAGAGACAGACACAAAAAAAGCCACAACACTCATTTCAGACGTGTGTGTGTGTGTGTCAACGCACTAACACGGGGAGGGGGGGGGGGGGGTCAAAGAGCAACCGTTGCAGCAGCGTCATGTCAGAGGTCAAAGTGCTCCCCATTACTTCAGTGAGCCAATAATATTAAATAAACATCTCGTACAGGAACCTACCATCGAACCTCCCGGTTTTAACCTTCCACGCCGCCAATGGTCGAAACATCGACCGAATCGGAACCGGGCCACGTGGCTGATGCGGCCACCCCGATGCCACAAATGGCGCGTCGAAGATTCGGTGGTCTGCGACTAAAGTGTGGCCACGAATCCCAAATCATGGACCGCATCGCAAACGCTCCACCGCTACTGCAGTCTTCACGCCTTTAAAAATTAACCCGTAAAAACAAAGTTTTTCACTATAAATCCTTTATATGCGTGGCGGCTAGAGTCCTCTCGTCCTCTGGCTTGAGATGGCTGCCACCTATGGGTCAGATGATTGTCTGCCAGCATTAAGCAATTGGTAATTAAATATTTTTAAAAAATTCCCTAAACAGTGTAAAATTTTGGAATTTTTTTTCACGAAAATTAATTGTCACGCACAACGAGTCTGTGTGGAAAATGTCAGCTCGATTGGATCACGGGAAGTGGGTTAAAAAACGACCTAAAGATTTGCACGGTCGTAAGCAAGCAAGCAAGTGAACTTAATATAAAGGATTTAATAAGTATAACCCGTAAAAACAAAGTTTTTCACTATAAATCCTTTATATGCGTGGCAGCGAACTTAATATAAAGGATTTAAAAAATATATTCGCCTGTGGAGGACGCGGGGATCGATCCCGCGACCTTTGGCATGGGAAGCGAGGGCGCTACCAACTGCGCTACTCCACCACGGCCTGTGGAGGGGTTACGCTGTGGGCTCTTACACTCTGACGTTCAGCCAAAGCCATGAATGCGTTCTATTTGAATATATGTAAAATAATTTTTTTTTGCCTAAAAAGTGTAAAATTTTGGGAATTTTCTTTCGAACAATAATTGTCTGGCACAACGAGTCTGTGTGGAAAATGTCAGCTCGATTGGATCATGGGAAGTGGGTTAAAAAACGATCCGAAAGATTTGCACAGTCCTAAGCAAGCAAGCAAGCACGCGAACTTAATATAAAGGATTTAAAAAGGAGGAACGGACGAGATCCACGCCGCTTCTCAACAGATAATTGAGCGGATAACAACATCACACCGTATTCTTGTACAGGGAAATTGAATTTTTTTTAAAGTTACATTTTTCGTGTTTCTCCCTTGTGATGGGAATTTGTAGGATGAACGTTGAGATCTATAAAGGGCAAGGGGGGACCAATAAGGTCTGAATTGGCACTGATAATGGGTTTGATAGGTATGCAACATCTAAAATTACATCTTTAATCTGCTGCTATTAATCCATATGTAAGAAGACGTGTGCCAATCTTCTTGGTTCTTTCGGTAAAGTCACGTGACTTTACCGAAAGAACCAAGAAGATGAATCCCTGCAGTCACGAAAGCTTTAAATCGAAACGTGTGCCAATCTTGGTTTTAACTCGCAGACGATTTTGTCAAGGCGGTGTATCGGTTATGGGTTTGTGTAACCACGCCTCACCATGCTGGTCAATGGAAAAGAGACGAATCGAGCCGAGGCACAGATCCGGTTCGGATATCACCGAGGAGAGCCGCAGGGGCGAGATGCCAACTACCTCGCCTGGTACGCAGGAGGTCATAGGTTCGATCCCGACCCTGGCACCTGTATATTTGGAGTTTACACGTCTCTCTCTCCCCGTGGTCATGTGAATTTTTTTTACCAAATTTTCCATTTTTTCCCCTCCACATTTTTAATCGACGTGCATTTTAGGGTATTTGGCTGCTACAAACGTTCCACGTGATAAGCCACTTTGTTGAGCTATCATTTGTGATAGGCAGGTCTCTTCTGAAAAATAGTTACGTAGCTCAGTGGGCCGTACCTGCTAAAATAAAGACTTTTAGTTTATGCATAGCCGGGAAGCAAACTCGGGTGACCAGATTGGTAGCGCAGCGCACTAACGACTGTTCCAACTGCTCCGTATTAATTTATTGTGGGAGACTCCGAAACACCACATTACTACACTAGTTCCCAAGTCTCTAACTTAGAATTTCAATGCAACCGATTGTTTTTTTTTTACACACAAAAGTGTCAATTTCAATATTGCATTCACAGGAGATGTTTAGCGGTCACCGAGGAAGGAAGGGGAAGATCGTGTTTCTGTTGAGTAAGCCTCCTTCAGGTAACCAACAACTTTTCCGCTGTGATGGATTTTACATAATACAGGGAAGTCCTCTACTTACGAACGAGTTAGGTTGCAGGTCTGTTTGCAAGTCGATTTGTTCCCAAGTGCCAACTTTACTCCTGTCGATTCTAAACGTGTTCTACGGCAAGTACACTAAACACGGGGAATGGCTTTAAAAGTTGTATAATCTCCTGTACATGCAAATACCACTGGTTCTTCATGTTCTGCAGATGCCACCGCCACCATCTATTGCACGGCGGTTCAACTTACGACTCTCGGTTCGAACAGGCAAATGGACATACGGACCAGGTTTGTTCGTATCTCCGAAAGTTTGTAAGTCGAGGAGTCCCTGTACAACGGAAACCGAAACAAATAAACGCCTCTTATCTACGAGATGCCCATCTGGGCTGCGTGTGCGGGCCTGTCAGATACATGCCAAGCTACCGTTTAAAGAGTCAATAAAAACAGGGTATGAGAGAAATAAGAATAGGCTTTACCCTTTCTGACATTAAAACAGGCGTCAAGATGTTCAAACACCAAACAGAAACCTTTTTCAACTGTTCGCCTTTCGGCGTTCTCTGGTGTAGGCCAATCAGTTTCAAAGACAATGCCCACATTTCGATTTAAAGCTTTCGTGACTGCAGGGATTCATCTTCTTGGTTCTTTCGGTAAAGTCACGTAGAAGGGAAATAATAAAATGAAACACTTTTTTATTTTATTATGTTTTATTTTTATTATTTTATTATTTCCCTTCTACGTGACTTTACCGAAAGAACCAAGAAGATGAATGCCCACATTATCAGAGCATGTTTGTTTGCATATTCATCACAAGTACGTGTGGTTAATGCGAACTTGATTCCTTGCAAAAAAGGTATCTATTTGGCGTTTGAACATTTTAACACCCGTTTTATTGCCAGAAAGGGTAAAACCTATTCTTATTTTTTCATACTTTGATACTGGCAAAAAAAAGGTCCCGAATATAAACACTTTAAAGAGTACGTTCGCTCGTAACATCACTGCAGTGACGCTATTAAAAAGTCCTGCAGCACGCTGCTATCACGTGACCAGAGCGCCACAATGTGATGACATCGCGCGCTTCAACGATCGTTTCTCCGCTAGAGTATCGCTTCCAACTTGTGGGTCGGACTTTTCTGGGACGAGCATCGAAGGTGCAGGCCCGCAATTCACTGCTGGACGAGGGCCTCCCCACGCCGCGAGACTTGTGGGGGTCCGTTGTGCTTCACCACTGCTGCGATAAATGTCCACGCGATAAGCCACTTTCGTTGCGCTATCATTTGTGGCAAGGTCGCTTCTGAAAAAGCTCGTAGCTCGGTGGGCTTTACCTGGTAAAATAGATTTTACCGATTTGTTTACCTTTGCTATACTCTGCACTCCCATCGTGTTTTCGTATTGTTTTAAGTTGCAACGTTCCGACCCCCGTGCCGCTACTGGACATCAGTGAGTAAAGAGCTTCACGGCTCATCGGATTCCTCCTCCAGTATAAACAAATAGTCCGATTCTGGCTCATGAAGGTTGGGCGCATAAACGCGCAATACATTGGATATTGTTTCACTGCCCTCCGCTGTCCACCACATCCTTCGACAAACTCTCACGTGCATGGTGGTGGTCCACTCAAGCGCTACCCAGGCTCAAGCCCCGCTTGATCAAGAGATCGGGTGGATTCAGGGCGATTCGGTCATTGGGGAAGCCACAATAAATAAGAACGTCGTTTTTTGGGAGCGACGGCTTCCTCCCAACAGATGGCGCAACAAATTTTAAACGTGGAGCCAAGAGACCACTAGTTTTAGTTCGTGCAAATACTTTGACCCAAAATGTAAAATTTTTTAGTTCATCTCCTTCAGAAGGGTTGTAACTTGCTTTGTTGAAATATATATATTCTGTATTTATACAACAAAACACAGAACGCACGGTCGTTATATGCAGGGAATGTGACCGAAATAGAACGGAGTAAACAAGCCAACTATCCCTGCAGGTTCGGCCGCTTCGAAAAATCACCGGGAACGGACAGACTTCGGTCGCATCTCGGAGCATCAGCAGGGTTAGAAGCCTGGTGAACGCTTGGATGAGTAATCGCCAAGCCTTGCCAGGCGTTATAGTAGGCACGGACTGTGTGAAGTGGCCGCCTGATGATGGAAACTACGTTACTTTACCAAAAGAACCAAAAAGAGTATAGGTTTTATCCCCCCCCCACCTCCATGCTGGTTACGTACGGTGCAAACGAAGTTCTACATACATACAGTACATACGTAAAGGGGTACCCCCATTTAGGAAAAAAAAACCACACAGCTTGGGATAATCCTTGCCCCTCTGGAAAATGAGCAGGACGACCAAGCAAGCCTCGTTAGGGCAGTGGCGTGGGGTGGCTGGGTGGGTGCCCTTGAGTCCACCCCCAGCCGCACCCGCTCCAGTTTTGTGCCGATGTTGGCGTCCCACACGTGCGCCGGTGCCCAGGGGGAGTGGTGGTGTTGGCGTAGGCTCTGTTCAGTTTGTTGTCCTTGCCCCGCACCTTCGGATTCACACGGTTGGCTATGTACGGCAAAAGAAATTCAACATGCATATACGTGGCGGTTGGCACACTGTGCTGTGAAAGCTGCCACACACCATTGAGCTCGATTCCTGGCCTTGAGCTCACATCAATCAGGCAGCACGCGATATCTGAACCGGTGCAG